GAGCTGGTTCATTCAGGCCAGGATCCTTTCAACAGTCTAATAATGGAAAAGTAAGTGTCACAGTGCTGACCCAGAGCCTGCTAGAATCAGAGGCAGCTCCAACAGGTAGCACAGCGGGCAAAACTTCAGCCCTGCTTCCCTTGGGCATGAGTCAAGCTAACCAGCACTCAGCCCCAGCCAAGGTCATCAGAGGTGGGAAGATGTACATCAGCACCCAAGATGCTCATAGAAATGACTGTGGATTATGGAAGACTAGTCACCCATGCAACTGTTGTACCCAACATTGCTCTTTGAGCAAAAAAAAAAAAAAAAAAAATTGATACAAGTGATGAGATCTTTACATGCTATATAGAACCTTACTAACAGACAGCAATGGGCTTTTAGTGATTTTACCCACCCTCTATAAAAAGTTTTCATTAGTGCTGCGAGATGCCTCATGGAAAAAATGCTTGCCCTGAAAATGTGAAAACTGGAATACTGATCCCCAGAACCCACACAGAAGTTAGGTAGGCATGGCAGACAGAAACAAGATCCTCTAAGAAAGCTGGCTAGCTAGACTAGCTGTTTGGTACAATCTAGGTTCAAATAAGAAGAGACCTTGTCCCAATAAATAGAAATAAAGAGCAACAGGGAAAGACACCTGGATACCATATCTTTCGGCCTTCACATGCATTGTGTGCACACTCACCCACCACAGACATAAGCCCACACATATGTAAACATACATACAGAGAACATGCACACAAATACCTGCAAAAGAAAAGCTTTTGTTATATGAGTTATGGACGGCTTTGATCACCATATGAATGCTGGGAACTGAACCTGGATTCTCTTTAAGAACAAGTGCTCTTAACCACCAAGCCATCTCTTCAACCCAGCAATCATTCTTATACAGTGAAGTACCCATAAAAATCCCAAAGGACAAATTTTAGAGTTTCTGCAGAGATAACACATGGAAGTTGACAGGTGAAAAGCTGGAGAAAACATGGCTGGAAACTCTGAGTTCCTTCTCCCACCCATACCTTGTCCTATATATCTCTCCATCAGAATCCTTTATAATAAACCAACAAATAAGCATCTTGAATTAAATTACCAGCTGCTTAGAAGCAAACCAACAAGCTGCAGCTCAACTGGCAAGAGAAGGGGGCAATCCTGGAGGCTGAGCTCTGGACACATGGTACTGTCAGAACAGAATTCGGTTTAAGAGGACATCCAGCTGCTATCTGCTGCTGCTGCAGAACCACTCCCTTGTATGGTGTGCGAGGAAAACTCCACACATACATCTGGTATAGGAAGCAACTTGTCATATTGTGTATACAGGAGAAGAAACTGGGTCTAAGGCTCATTTTCTCCTCAGAAATGAAAAATTAAGGGGATGAATTTGCATTACAAAATCCCCATATAACAAAAGATTAGCAGCAGAAACTAAATACAAAATAATCAGGAAAACAGAAAAGCACAAAAAGAAGCAATACAAAGAATCATTATACCTCAGGAAGGGATAGCCAATGATTTTCTACCCAATAATCAGGACAATGAAAATTAATATAACAGTAAGGCATAATTTCATACCATAACTGCAAGATTTTAAAGAACTGTTGGTAGAAGCATAAGTATGATAAACACCTTAAGTTTCCCATAAACTATTAAGCTGAAGATGTACACATGTACCCGGCAATTAACTTGCAGGTGTGTCCTAGAACAACTGTTAACCATGGCAGCACTGCAAGGCTAGGACTATGGTGGGGAAAGTGTGGGTATTTATTTTTGTTTTTGATAACTGTTTTGTCTGTGGTAGTTCTAGTTTTTGTCTTGGTGTACTCAGGCTCATATGTGCTAGGTAAGTACCACACCAGGATGTTACACCTCAAGCTCCTTTCTTCCAAATAGACAGCATCTCCCTACAGATCTACGTATGTTTTCCTTTGTCACAAAACAAACACCACCATGTGGGTGCTAGGAACCCAACCTGGATCTTTTTCAAGAGGATTCTCAAGCAAAAGTGCTCTAACCACTGAGCGAACTCTCTAGCCTCTAGAGAGTTTTTAAAGATCACTTTAAAAATGAATAGATAATCCCAGCACTTGGGAAGCGGAGACAGGATTATCTCTGTGAGTTTGAGGCCAGCCTGGTCTACATTATCTAACTCCAGATCAACCAAAGCTACAGAATGAGACCCCATCTCAAAAAACAGTAACAAAAACACCCTCCTGAAATTCTAGTTTCCATGCACTGAAAATAAGAAATTGCTACAAAAAAAGAAAACTTCTAGCAGTAAACGTAACAATGAAAATAAGTAACTGAAGGATCAAACATAAAAGTCATTTCAAAACTAAAGCCATTCTCTTTCAATACAATTAGAATCAAACATACAGCACAATTCCTGCAATCAAAGAAATTAAGTTCAAGGTCTGTTACACACTTATCTCCTGCAGCAATAATATACATGCTAAATGCAGTGGCACACACTTTTGATCTAAGCACTACACATAAGAGTCAGAGGCACGCAGATCTCAGGCAGTTGAAGGCTAGTTCCAGGCTATACAGCAAGTCCCAGGCCAGCCAGGGCCACGTGCTAACTTAGACCCTTTCTCAAAAACAGTAAAAAGGTGTGGTACAGCAGTACTGTGGGATGATAATACTCTTCGTCTCTCATATTTATGATTGTGTACACTATGCATTTCTCTGGTGGCTGTAATAGGCCTCTAGACCTTAGTAGGCCCTGAGGTCTTAGCATAACTGACTTCATGAGGAAAGTACCATTCAAGCCATAAAACTCAGCACACAGACAACACTACCTGAAAACAGACCTAATGGGAAAGTCTCTAAATGTACTAAGCTTCCTTTCTGACTTCTGTAGTTCTGCTTCCATCTCACTGTTCTTGTTGACTGAAGTATGTTAACCAGAGTATGGCTTTTGTGCTTAAATGCTCTCCCTAAGAAAGGCTTGGTGCTACAATGGAATCTTGAACATCTAGTGTAGTTGCCGGCCAGCCAGCTAATAAAGACTTTCTATTGGCTTAAATCCATGTCCCAGGATCTTGTCTGGTGGATACCCACGACAGTGGTGCCAATATCTTAAACCTAATAACACTAATCATGCTATTTTAATTTTTAGCTTATACACTGAGCTTCCTTCTCTGTATTGAGTTTTCTGAATACAGACTGCTGTGATTACCCTGCAAATAAAAGAGCAAACAGCAGAGGGTTCTACCTGAGACAACACTGCATTATAAAGCTGTCAACCACAGCAGCTAATTTAGTCTATATTGTCCAAGGTGTTTTTCAAATGACAATATTAAAAAAAAAACTGAAATAATTCTGTTAGTGCAGGAGTGCAGGGCAAAGTTTGAAACCCAACAGTAAAGTAAGGGAGAAGGTTTTATATTTGGAATTTCTCAGAAGTTTAATTCAATTATGAACATCTTCCTTTAAAAAACAAAAACCAACAAAAAAAAAAACAACCTTCTGCCAAAAAACTAAAAATAGAATTATCAGTCCTTGCCTAGTGGTCCAGAGGTACATATTTATATTACCAGCATCTTGGTGCTGAGACAAGGGAATGGCAGCTTGGGATATGCGAGAAGACCCTATCTCAAAACAACAAAACATCCCTATGATCCAGCCAGCCTACGACTGAGGACAGACCTAAAGAAAACACAATCACTGCAGCACTGTTCATAGTATGAAAGCAGAGAATCAGTGGAGGTGCCCAGCAGCGGATACAAATGGGTAAATATATCACTGTCAGAAAAAAAGATGAGGTCTAATTTGCAGCAGTGTGGGGAAAGTTAAGCCAAGTAAAATATGCCAAGCAGATAAAGCCAAAGCACGTTCTTGCTCCTCTGTGGAAGCTTTTAAAAAGTTGATTTCATGGGAAAATAGAGTAGAACAAGGGGTTAGCAAAGTAGCAGAACAAGAAGTGGGGAAAGGGAAAAGATGGAGTGGGAGAAAGTTCAATAATAGGAACCAAATGCCGCCGACAGATAGGAGGAATAAAAATGCTTATGACCCGCAGCACAGCGGGATGGCTACTGTTCACAATTTATAGTATAAAGAACTAGGGGGGAAAGGAGTTTAAAGGTTCCAAACCCGCAAAGAAGAAATACTAAAATAGAAATGCTAATTGCAGATTTGACCATTACACACAGTACCCATGAACTGACGTATCATCATACTATATCTCATAAACGTACAATTATTATAAGTCAATTAAAAAATTCAGCTGGAAGTGATGACGTACTCCTGTAACCCCCGCACTAGGGAGATGAAGGCCATAGGATTGTGGTAAATCCGAAAGCAGCCTGGACTAACTGGCAAGTACTATGTGCATTCAAGACCCGCACAAACAAGCAAGGACATGAGAGATGTACAGGGATGCAAAAAGCCAACTACTACTGGGTCAGCCTGAATTCACGTAGGCTGTCTGTAAAATTAACCAAAGCTTAATTTAAACAGCTGAGTCTGAAAGAGCTCATTTCCAAAACATAACCACAAGGGGAAACAAGGGCCAGTCGCAGTGAGAGGGCAGGAGCGCTGAGAGCTCATGGGCTCCGTCCTATCAAATTTCGAATCCACGGTTATCAAAAACTGTCTAGCGAAGGTGCGTACGCCCTCCCCAGGAAAAACAAAAAACCTACAGAGCAGGAAAAACAGCCATCACCAGTGAAAACCGCTCTCTTCTGCCCGAGCGGAGGAGCAGTCCCGATACAGACCAAGCGCTACACAGCCTGGCACTCGCCCAGCCTGGCGGGGAGCGCGACCTGGCCGCGTCGCATCCCCCACGGCCACGACGAGCGCCTCGGCGTCCGCCTCGCCCGGCCTCGGCTCCCCGCCCGGCCTCACCGCCCAGCCGGGCCCCGCCCTGAGGCGGTCACTGAACCGCAGAACCTCAGCGCTTACCATCCTAAATTTCTCCTCAGCCATCTTGGCTCCGCCCACCGCTGCGCGACCGGAAGCCAACCGTTTCCCCGACAGCCAGCAGAGCCGGAAGTCGTAAACCGGGGAAGGAAGGAGGAACCCGAGCCAGGAAATAGGTTGCCGAGAGGAAGGCCCCGGCGGTGAGGTTAGTAAACTCCTGGCGTCTCCATAGTGTGACATGACCACAGAGGGCATAGCTCGGAAGGAAAAGGTGAGGGAACTCGCAGCCGGAGGTCAGACATGATCTCTGCACCGGTCTGGATGACTTTAGAGTGTAACATGTCAGTCAGATATTAGATAACGAAGCAAAGTTTATGAAGAAAACAGTTCACTCAATAAATATAAGTAGCTCCTAAACATACGAAAATAAAACTACCAGGAAGAGGAATATGCAAGGGTATGTTTCCAAGATTTGATCTATCTCACGTTGACAACAAAATTTGTCACCGACATATTTGTGAGGAAAACATGCTTTCTTCACCAGTGGAAACAAATTGGTCAAGCTCTCAACAGGCGTTTAGCAACTAAAAAAAAAAAAATTAAAAATACACATAACCTTTAACCAAAGTGTTTCAATTATAGGAATTTATTCTATACGTATAGACATGAAACATGGCTTTACATACAAAGATATCCAATGTGTCATTGTTTGGAATAAACCAAAGCTTGAGAAACAACCTAAATACCCAACAGTAGAAATTAAATAAATTATAAGAAGTTCATATTATGTGGCACATGAAAAGAGGCAACTATTTACATGATAAGAATTGCCAAGGTACACTAATAGATAATGACAACGTGCAAAAAATGCATATAGTATTTATGTTAATAAAGAGAAAGCAAAAATAAAGAATATGCACACAGTTACTTATTAGAAAATATTTTTGGAAGAATATTCAGATACTAAAAGTGGTTACCTCTAGGGAAGAGAACTGGGTAGCAGAGATGCAAAGAACAGAGGTAGACTTTACAACTTTTAATTTTACACTATATGCATGTATTATCTATGCCAGTAATAAAGATAAAATTAACAAAATGTATCACATAGCATTCGGGTTGTGAGAACTGCTAAGAAAGAAATCTAGAACAATAGGAGAAAATAACCAGGAGCTTCAACCTAAACTAGCAAGGCAAGCTTCTTCTAGGTTGATACTTTAAATTACATCTAAAGAATAAGGCATTATTAGCTGGAGGAAACAGGCTGAGGAAGCATGCAGACCAGGGAAGAATTCTAAGGCAGAGAAAGAAATTGTGCCAAGACCCTGAGGATGGAAAAAGCTTGGCTAGTTTGCAGCACAAAGGAGGACAGTACAGCTGGAAAAGAAAAAATTGAGGAAGTGTTGGTTCCCATGGTTGAGGAGGTTGTACAGTCCAGTAGGGTAGACCCACCAAGGCCATTAGACCTGCCAAGGCCATGTGAGGGAGTCTATTATAAAGGGCAGTGGGAAGGCACTAGAGTTTTGAGTAAGGAATGGCTTGATAAGAATGAACAGTTAAAGAGTTCTTGTTAACTACTGAGTGGAGAATTAAGAATGCCAAGAATTAGCAGGGTGCAGTGGCAAGCATTTAATCCCAGCACTTTGGGAGGTAAAGGCAAGTGGATCTTTATGAGTTTGAGGCCAGCCTGGTCTATAGTAGGGAGTTCCAGAATAGCCAAGGCAAAATAGTGAGACCCTGTTTCAAAAAAGAATAATGTCAAGAATTGATAATCTAAGAGAGATTAGTTTCCTTGGATAGAAGAGATGGTACAAAAGAATAGAAAAGCGGGTGCTTAGTGGTACACACTTGTGACCCTGGCACTGGAGAGGCTGCAGAAAGACCAGAAATTCATGAACAGCCTTAATAACATAGTGAGGTCCAGGTCGGCCTGCCTGGCTATATGAAAGGCTGTCTCAAAAAATAGTAGTAAACAGATAAAAATAAAAAAGGAGGAAAAACAGGCCTGGCAATCTTAGCTCTGAGAAGGCTGAAAACCAGAGGACTGCCATGAATCTGAGGCTACTGTGGGCTACACGTGAGTTCCAAGCTAGGCGTGGCTATATGGTAAGACCTTTTCTCCCAAACAAAAAGGCTGGTCACAGTGGCACAGCATTTAGGAGGCAGAGGCAGGAGGATCACCCAAGATAGGCCTGTCTAGTCTATATAAGACATTAAAGAAATGGAGGAAATATCTAGAATCTATGACCATAAAAATTAATGTTGGTGGATGAGGGAAAGAGATTCATGTTAAAGGAATACTGCCAGGTTTCTAACTGCAAAAACAAATTATGTACAGCCAAGACTATACATGTCTCAAAAAACAAAAAGCAAATTGGGTGAATTGTTCAGCCAGTTACTAAGGTGGAGAGCTTTAAGGATGTGAGTAGCAAGTTAATGATCTTGCTCCCCAGTACATAAACCTCCTTTGAAGGGACCCTGTGAGGATAATATTCTTTAGTATGCAGAAGCCTTTATTATATGTTTTACATTTATTTATCATGAGGAGGGGTGCATATACTATGGCACGTATGTAGTGGTCAGAGAACAATTCTTGGAAGTCAGTTCTCTCCTTCCACTGTCAGTCCGGAGGATGGAATTCAGGTCGTTGGGTTGGCAGCAAACATTGTTACCCACTGGCCCATGTTACCCATCTCTCTTTGACCCCAGACTTTAGGAAGAAGGTAGAATCCCCCCTTTTGTTTCTCAAATTGTTTGCATCAAACATAGTGTTTCAGTTAGGTAATTAGAATATCTCAAAGAAAAATCCTAGGAATTCCTTAGAGCATGTTTAGTATGTCACAAGCACATCTTCGTTTCCCTTGGCAAACTCCCATCAGAGCGGCTCTGCTCATCAGAATGTTCAAATTATGTAGCTGTGGGATGAATTATGAACAATCGCTATTCCTTCATTTGTTTAATGGCGGCAGGAGAGGTATTAAGCATCATAATGTCCATCTCTCCAGTGTAAGTCTAAAGAAGCTGCAGCTACATTTCTTTATTTGGAGTATTTAATTTCTGGACTTTAAGGTTCTCAGCCAACTTTGTTCTGAAGCCACCTGCTAGGCATCTCTCTAGCATCTCAGGCTTCCCAGAACCCACACCATTAACTGTCAACATTGTAGGAAAATGCCCCTTTAAAAGCACAGTAAGTACTAAGTATTCATATTTTTCAAAATCTTTCATGGAATATTGCCTCTTCATGATAGTACAAATGACTGTAGTCAGTGGAGAATGTAGCCAAAGCAGATAGTGCTTTGCTTATAAGACAAAAATACTAGACATCTCCAAATGTCCATCACCAAGGACAGTTGAATCAAAGCGAGATGCTACTGTAAGATATACTATCTAGCTTGTAAAAATTCCTGGACATGTAAAAAAAATAAGTAGCTGCAGGTTATATAGGGGAAAGGTGAAGAAAAATATGATAAGCTTCCATTTGTTGATTAAAAATAAAAATTACCAGACTGGGCAGTGGTGGTGCACACCTTTAATCCCAGCACTTGGGAAGCAGAAGCAGGTGGATTTCAGTGAGTTTGAGGCCAGCCTGGTCTACGGAGTGAGTTCTAGGATAGCAAGGACTGTTTCACAGAAAAAAAAAAAAACCTATCTCGAAAACAAACAACCAAAAAAAAATTACTGGACCCAGAGAAGTGGCTCATTAGTTAAGAGCACTCGTGGCTCTTTCAGAGGGCTGGAGTTCAGCAACTGTCAACTGCCTGTAACTCGGTTACATGGAATCTGACACCCATTCTGGCTTCTGTAATGCACATATACGGTCCTTCATATACAAACACATAAAATAAAAACAATAAATCCTTTAAAAACAAAAACATGCTAGAGACATGGCTTAGTGGTTAAGAGCATTCGTTTTTGTTTATATATATACAATATAGTTTGTTGAGACAGGGTTTCTTTGGTAGCCTTGTCTGTCCTGGAACTCAATCTGTAGACCAGGCTGGCCTCAATCTCACGAGATCCACCTGCCTCTGCCTCCCATGTACTGGGATTAAAGGTGTGCGCCACCATCGCTCAGCCCATAGCACTTGTTCTTACAGAGGACCCAGGGTTGGTTCCTAGCACCCACATGGTGGTTCACAACTGTTCATAATTCTAGTTCCAGGGAGCCTCTTCTGATCATCATAAAGCACCAGGTACATATATGGTGCAAGAATGTTAAGTGCAAGCAAAACACATTCATAACACATAAAATATATAAATCTCAAAACAATTTTAGGGTGGGAGAGTTGGCTCAGTAGTTAAGAGCCCTTGTTCTTGCAAAGGATCCAGGATCAATTCTCAGAACCCACACGGAGTCTCACCACTTCCTTGGAAGAACAGAGACAGGCGGATCTCGGAGTTCAAAGCCAGCCAGGGCTGTTACACAGAGAAACCCTGCCTTGAAAAACAAAAATCTTTTTGAAAACCAAACCAAAAAACTTAGCTAGATGTATCGCAGGCAACTGGCTAAACTACTACAGCAAAACTGCAACCATGGGAGGAGGGGAATACAGGTAGTAAAAACTTGAGCAAAACACCCAAGGGCAGAGTACAATTAAATGACTTCTTTAAAGTCCCAAAAGAATACAAGGTTAGCGTGGAATGAGAATTCTATACCCAAAAAATAATCACTTGGGAGGGCGACAGGAGGATCAGAAGATTATCCTTAATACACAGAAAATCTGAGGCCAGCCTGGGCTACATGAGACCCTGTCCCAAACAGAATATAACAATTCTGTATCCAAATAAAACAGCCCTCACAAAGAAAAAAAGGGAAATACATTCTTCCACCAATGAAAAGTCAGAGAATTCATTTCTAGAGAAAAGAGAGTGGAGGGCTGGATGTACAATTTACTGGTAGAGCAACTGCCTAGTGAGTGTGGTTTAATCCCTGGCATTCAGACTTGAGAAATTAGATCAGATGAAACCTCAGGTTTACTGGAAACCAGGAAGAATAATAGTATGTACTCTAAAGTTTATAGATATATATAAAAAGCAAATAAATCATTAAAGTATTAAAGTACCATATACAACACACATATTTATGTGATTTCTAGTTCTAAACAGACCCATACAGAACATATTAGGTTTTTAAATTATAAATTCACTGAAAATAAAATTCCATTTATACTAGCCACATCTAAGTGTTCAATAACCATCAATTAGCTACCATATTTTTAAGTACAATGTATATTCCCATCACCTTGGGCAGTGTTACTGTAGAGTGAGAGGGAACAAAGAGTACTGTTTTTTTTGTTTGGTTTTTCAACACAGGGTTTCTCTGAGTAGCCCTGGCTATCTTGGAATTCACTCTGTAGACCAGGATGGCCTCGAACTCAGAAGTCCACCTACTTGACTCTGCTGGGATCAGAGGTGTGTGCCACCACTGCCAGGCTTAGTAGCAAGAGTACTTTAAGCTTTACAATGCATGTATCTGTGGCTCTTCTTCCTCTCCCCTTCCGAAACCTTTCCCCCTCCATTTTTAAAAATGACATTTATCTCTTCACTAGGAGAAGCCTATACATGATGTGTGTGGATGTGAGAGGACAACTTGCCGAAACTGGTTCTTTCCTACCCTGTGTGTCTTGGGGATGGAACTCAGGCCATCAGATTCAGCAGCATGCACCACTTTACCTGCTGAGTCATCTTAACCCTCCCTTTAAATAGACTATACTGGCCTGCAGATAGGCAGGCAGCAGACTGGACAGTAACTAGAGTACAGCCTGCAGCTTAAACTTTTAAAAAATTTAGCAATGCTTCCTAATAAAAATGCTCAGTAAAATACAGAAAGAAATGAACTCCTACAGGTTTGTAAGGTACATATATTTAAAAAATTTACCACTAGAACTGTGCAGTGGTGGCGCACAACTTTAATCCCAGCACTTGGGAGGCAGAGGCAGGCGGGTCTCTGCATTCGAGGTCAGCCTTTGTAGAAAGCTAGTTAAAGGACAGCTATGGCCGTTATACAGAGAAACACTGTCTTGAAAAATAACAAAACAACAACGACAACAAAAAACTTACCACTAAATCATACTTAATAAAAACCCAATAAAATACTTCTAAGCTGGATGGTGGGGCACGTCATTAATCCCAGCACTCTGGAGGCAGAGGCAAGTGGATCTCTATGTGTTCAAGGCCTGCCTAGTCTACAAGAGGTAGTTCCAGGACAGGCTCCAAAGCTACAGAGAAATCCTGTCTCCAAAACCAAAAAATGAAATAAAAAAATAAAAAATCCTTATCTCTGATTCTGGGAACAGAACCAGAAAGTCGCTGTGACATTTTTCTAGCACTGTACTAGATTTTAGCACCAGGATGGAAGGGCAAAACAAAATAAGCATACAACCCAAAGGGGGAACATGGAGATTGTCCAGAAGATAAAAACTGCTGCTGCAACAAACCTGACAACCTGAGTTCAATTCCCTTGTAAAAAGTTAGAAGTGGTGGGTTATCACACATGGAGTCACGCAGCCAACATCAGAAACAATAGGCACTACCTCAGCAAGGTGGAAGAAAAGAACATTGTCCTCTGATCTCCACACATGTATTGTGGTATGTATGCCCCTACACAGGCAAAATAAAAATATGAAAAAACAAAAGTAAAAACATCATTTGCAGAAATGATTTTGCATATTTGTAACCCACTGAGCTATTTCTAGAACTAATAGGTTTAGTAAATGGCTTCAAGATCAATATGTAAGATCAGTTTTATTTCTTTATAACAGCAAAAATAAAAATGGCATTTAAAAATTAGAATTTTTAAATAAAAATCAGCCTGGCATGGTCACTTACATCTATAACAATAGTACTCAAGTGGTTGAGGCAGGAAAATTTGAGTTCAAGGATAGCTTGTGCTACAAGCATGAGATCCTGTCTAAAAACAAAATAAAAAAAAAAACTAAATGGACTGCGTGTGTATGTGTGTGTGTGTATGCGTGTATTATTTTCAAATACCCAAGAGCAAAAACTAAGGGAAACTACAAAGGACTACTAGAAAAAAAATTAAGAAATCCTAAATAGCTAAGCATGGCACACATGCCTGCAACCCTAGTACTTGAGGCATTCACAGTCATTTCCAGTTACATATAATAAATTCAGGGCCAACATGGGTTACTTGAGACCCTACCTCAAAACACAAGCAGAAAAAAAGTAAACAAAAACATAAATGGCAAGATATATACCATGTTCATAGACAGAGTTAAGCTCATCCCTAATAAAATATTCTTCCTAAACTGACCTGATTTTAATGCAACCTATCAAGATTTTCAACCTGAGTTTCAACCTAAATGCCAACCTAGAGCTAATGGGAGATAGAAACCCTTTAAATAAGCTGCTGGAACTGAATGTCCATGTTGAAAAAAAATATGGTTCTCTTAACAGAAATCAACCTCGAGCTTTGGATCACCTAAATGTAAAGCACCATAAAAGTTTAAACAATTAACTTGAGATGGATCATCGTTAAATTTCCAGCAGAAAACATGCTGGATTATGAGTTCAATTATGACACTAAACTCATAAAATCATAAATCACAAAATGTATAAAAGTCAAAATAAAAAATTACAAGCTGGACACCATAGCACAGAGGCTTCAGTCTCAGAAACAGCAGGAGCTGAAATAGGAAGATCATTTGAGCCCAGGGATTTGAAGCCAGCTGGGCAAAATAACAAGACCCTGTGTCAAAATAAATAAAATGAAATAAAAAGTAGGTCTACCATGCACAAGGGCAGGTTTAATGCCCAATAATGTAAAACAATAATTGTCACAACTTTCATCCCAGATCCTAGGTATTTCATACAGGCTAGGCAAGCACTCAACATCATTCCAACCTTGAAAATGGAGTATATATCACCAAGGGAAAATAACAGAAATTAAAATTACGTAAATTTCCTACCCACTAAGATGGCTAGTATAAAAAGTAAACAGTGATAGAGCTAGATGTGGTGTTGCATCCTTATAATCCTTGTGCTCAGGAGGCTGAGGTAGGAGCATCTTAAATTCAAGCCCAGCCTGAGCTACACAAACTCCTGTCTCAAAAACAAACCACTGACAACAGGAAATGTTTAGATATGGAGAAACTAGAGATTGCATACATCACTCATAGGCATACAAAATGATGGACCTTTTGTATAGGACAGTTTATTACCTTATATATAAAGTAACCATGTGACCCAGCAATGCCTTACTACTAGATATTTAACCAGGAGAAAAGAAAGCATGTATCTAAAAACATCATAGTACGGGCTGCAGAGATGGCTCATTGGTTAAGAGCACTGGCTGCTCTTGCAAGAGGACCCATTATCCACATGGAGGCTTACAGCCATCTATTACTCTAGTTCTAGGGGATACAGAGCCTTCCAAAAATAGAGACCTATATTCAGGCAAAACACCCATACACATGACGACTTCAAAAAATTAAAAACTTGGGGGCTGCAGAGATGGCTCAGTGGTTAAGAGCACTGACTGCTCTTCCGGAGGACCCGAGTTCAATTCCCAGAAACCACATGGTGGCTCACAACCATCTGTAGTGAGATCTGGCACCCTCTTCTGGTGTGCAGGCATACATGGAGGCAGAATGTTGCATACATAATAAATAAATCAATATTTAAAAAAAAATTAAAAACTCATGTTGCCCCTAATTAGGAAACAAGTTATTAGTAGGAAATTTGAGAAACTGGTATTATGTATAATATGTACTACACAGAATGATCTAACATTAATTTAAAGAATCTTTAAGGCATTATAAATTAACCACCCAAGTACATATGACCCATTTATATGAAGCTCAGGACTGATCTTGAGTGGCTAAAGCCAGCAAGAGAGCACTGGAAAGGGGCCTCAAATATGACTTTAAAGAGAGCTTAATAGTATTCTCCTGCATCATTTTTGATTACACTTGTACACAGTTCTTAAAATATCCAACTAAACATAAGATGTGTACAGTATAGCCAGTTAAACACATGATAGATATGGAAGTCCTATTTCAGGAGCATGTGTTTCCAGTTCTGTTTTCTTCAGTGTTTTGTGGGCTCTCATCTACTTAGGGCAAGGCCCCAGATTATGAAATTTATCTTAAAGACATACTCAGTGTCCTTTAAATAAACAGCATTTGCAATCTACGAAGCAGTTTCCTGGAACCAACCATCTGATCCCATGAGTTAGTATGCTAACATTTGGTCACTGAGGCACTGACATTACTCATCTGATTTTTACAATACATCACGGAGTTCTTTAAACTACTTATTTTGTTGGCCTTATTGCAAGCTAGTCAAAATAACAAATTCTGGGAGGGAGAAGGCATAGAGAACAGTATTACCACCCTTCTCGAAGCATATTCTCTGGTGTTTACCGTCATGATCTTTAGTATTCCAAATCACTCCCTAGACAGGGAATAGTGGGACATACCTAAAACCCCAGCACCAAGAGGGTTGCAACTTAAGAGGCCAGCCTGGACCTATATGTAATTATAGCAAGATCCTGCCTCACACTAAGTAAAATGTTGAGAGTACATCTTTTCCAAATCATGTGAAAATTTAGGTAATATTTTTCTATTAAAAATTCTATTTGTCTTATACAGGTAGAAATGAACCACAAGCCAGGATATGTGATAGGAATTTATTAATAAGCAAACATCATTCATACCAAGAATAGCAGCAATGAAGTTATAAATGATCTGAGAGAGAATGTACTTGACGACTTTGGAGCATCTCATTAGAATGTCTGCTGCCCAGGTAAGCCCACAAGGTCATCTGTAAGGGCAAGGCATTATTTTATATTATACCCCAAGGAATGGTACCAACAGTAGCAGCAGCAAGCTACAGTATTCATTTGTTGATAGGGTCCCTTAAAGTTTTAGGATACAAATTCGTGAATCTCTGTCTGAACCAGCTCCTCCAGAGAGCTGGATCTCCACAGCGTAAGACTCAAAAGCTACTGGTGTGACTTGTACAGCACTGTTTTACTCTGTATAAGCAATCTTGACTTTTTGCCTTTTCTGGCAGACTGCAGGAGCTTGCAAAGTTAATGAGCCACATCCACAGTGTAGTCAGTGAGGAACTTTACAGGTGCTAGTTAAGGCACAAAGTAGTCCTCGGGAAATGTTACTCTATGCATATAGAGCCGATGTCATCATGTCAGGATTGGCAATCTTTAAGGGTCTGAAAATATAAGGTTCTATTACTTCTTAACTCATTAAAATAGGGTGGCTCCTAAATATGAGAAATTGCTGGTTTATCTGAAGTTTTCAACAAAAAAATTGCCACCGAGTTCCTAGAAAAACCTAATATTAGAAGTCTTTAAGCCCCAGCAGGTACTTTGCTAAGGCTATCTGAATAGTGTCAAGTGGCCAGATGTGACTCCACTTGGTAACTGGCTGGGTTACAGGGCCACCCATTTGCATGAACAACCTTGGTTAACAGCTTCACACAAATTGACAGACCCCTTCAGTGGACTGTTGAACCTCCAGTGCCCAATGCTGTATTGAAGCAATTTAATTAATGGGGATGACTATCCACTTTCACTGAAATGGGAAAGGTAACTGGTGATTTAGACAATGATGATTCACATAGGCTCATTATTTCAATACTTAGGAGACATGTGCCTTGGAGGAGGTATGTCACTCAGGGCAGGCTATTCCATTCCAAAAATCTCATGTCATCATTCCCAGTGTACTCCCTCTGCCTCCTACTTGAGGATCAAGATGTGAACCCTCAGCCATCATGAGCTCTAACCATCTCAAACTGTAAGCCCGATTAAACACTTTCTCTTGGATGTTGCCTTGGTCATGGTGTTTTGTCCTAATAGGAAACTTAAATATTTATGATTTGTTTTATAAAAGGATTTATTTTACCCATTTTGATCCCCACAATATTCCTAATTTTAAAAAAAACCAACATAAAAGAATGTGGAATCAGACAAGCATGGAAACTATGAACTCCTGACAGTATTCTTAGAATTCAGCTCGAGTGGGAGTAATGTACCCTATTTACACGATTAGGTATACATTTGAGTTTGAGATCCCTGAATCCCTCATGGATGGATGCATTGTCAGAGATGCTAAGTACCAAAGTGAAGACTGTTTTATAACTTGGCAACAACAGTGAAAACCACCCATGGCCCCAACCAAATTTTGTCCAAGAAAGCAGTGTTACTCCTCATTAAATGCTTGAGAAAGATAGTAGGTCTCTCTCTCCCTCTGTCTCAGACACATACACACGACACACATGTACCGAGAAAATGTCAAAGTTTCTTTTATTCTTAGAATTGACTTTCAATTGAGGGCTTCTAGGCTATTAGGTGGGCTAGTTTAACTTGAAAAACAATGTACATTCTTTAAAATATATACTAACTTCCCCAAAGAAAAATGGAAAAAGAAATCTTAACAGTCCACATTTTTCATTTCTGAAGGAGCCAAGATTTCCCATTTAAAAAAAAAAAAAAAAAAAAACCACCCAAGGTGATAGGTGTGGTAGTACACACCTGTAATCCCAGCACCCAGGAGGCAGGAAGAAAAGTTTTAAATTGGAAGTCAGCCTGGGCTATAGTGTGCTGAGACTCTGAGGTAATACAAAAACAAACAAACAAAAACAGGAAAACAAACAACACCCCTGAAAAAGCAAACAAAAAACCCAAAATTCAAAACTACCAGACTCTACAGTTGCAGGGATAAATGCTGAGATCAAATGCTCAACTGGATTTAGTGGTACCTGCCTGTCATTCTAGCACTTGGAGACAGAGGCAGGATGATCAGCAGTTCAAGGCCATCCTTGGTTACCTAAGTTCTAGACTCAAGACTCAACTGGGCTACCTAAGGTTTTTAGTTTGTTTGAGACAGGGTTTCCCTAGCTGTCCTGGAACTCACTCTGTAGACCAGGTTGACCGCAAACTCACAGAGATCTGCCTGCCTCTGCCTCCTGAGTGCTGGAATTAAAGGTGTGTGCCACCACTTCCTGGCTAAGATCTGGTCTTTAAAAGAACTAAAAAGAAAACATTAGCTGCTGCTCTCTGCATTTTCAGTTATCATGTATAAAAGAAACCTTTTAGCAAGTCCCAGAAGGCTATCCATATTCAAGGTCAACTGCAAATAGCCTATAAATAGTTACACTATGCTATTCTCAACTGTCATATGTGGTCTGGCTGCCAAATCTGTCAGTGGGGAAGGGCTCTTTTCTAGTCACCACTGGTTTCTAGAGGAAATCAGGACTACAATGGTGTATGAAACAGTAACCCTCTGGAAGGAGCACTGTCATGCATTACTAATGTCAAAGTATGGTTTAGAAACACAGCATTAAAAGCCATTTCTTGTCCTGGACATTACATCATTCTAAGACCAGAATAAGAAAATGGTACAGACAGAGGTAGTTGAATGCTGCTTGGGTCCTACATAGAATTGTGAAACTTTAGGCAAGTTATTTAATCCTTTTCTTATTTTCCATTTCTGTGAAAATAGCAATCTTTACTCCACTTGTTTTAGAGTAAGTGCTTTGAAGATGAAAATGACAGACGGTTAGACTGGATAGGATAAGACTCAACTGTCCTGAAGTCTGGACTTAGTTACAGTATCTAACATTAACAATATCCAGAAGCATCTGCAGCTTTGAGTCTACTTTATAGGGACCATCAGCTTCTATAAGTAAGGTGAAGTACTTTTGAGGCTGAGAATAATGCTTTAAATTTTTAAATATCATATCTAAATCCAGTGTTTGCAATTAGGAAGCCAGAAAGCTTTCAGAAGTACTTCTGAAAGTTTCATTAGCCAAATTAAGTGTTGGGGATGGTCTCATTCACAGTTCCCTACCTAGGACCTGAACCAATACTTGACAGTTTATATTAAACAGGAACAGTGAATAAGGCACATTATACAGGTGGCTGTTATCCACCTAAGTTATCTGTTTTCAACTATAAAAATAAACATAAGTAACTAATGGAATAACAAAATAAACGTTTATTTTATTAGAATTAGGAATGTTCTTTCCCTCTGGGCAACCTGAACAGTCCAGTTACAATGAAAATCTAAGAACAGTTATTTCCACAGCACAAGGTGCTCTATGCACAAAATTACAGGGTTAGGAGCATTTAATCAATTTATCGATCTGATTGTCTCACCAACCCACCCCATCCCATCCCCCAAGTGCTCTATATTGGGATACGTGGCTAAAATAATGTTACATTAAATCCTTTAACTCTCTTGTTCTAAGTTTCAACTCCTAATCACAGGTGAACCACACATTACACTGCAGATTCAACCATATCAAACCAAGTCAGTCAGTCTTGGATCTACTGGTATGTATGTATACACGTGTGTCTTTAATATATTTATTTAAACACACATAAAACATATACAATCTGGGTTGCAGCAAATTACAAAGAATTTAGAGTCTGGTGATGTTATATGCTACTCCATTTACCACAATTTTATGTCTCCTGAGCTTTGGATCAAAATTTTATTAGAAATCATTGAAAAGTTCACCTGTTGCTCAATGAATTGTTCAAATGAAGCATGCACCTACAATGTAACTGACCTCAAAAACACAAGGAGACCCTGGTGCTTACTGTAAGTAGAGCCCTCTGAGAGACTTAGGTAGGTCAAATAGGGAAGCTGTCTAACAATATGGCTTGCCTATCCCAGCGGGGGGCACTGAAGCTACTAACAAAAGCAGTTAAATTCTGGAAACTCTTAGATATGGAGACGGTTGTTAAAAGCTTGGATGTAGCAGAAAGGCCAATTCACCTTGATCCACACAAATTATGAGTGCAATACCCTCAGTTCCCATGTGAGCACTGGGACTAGAAAGTGTCACCAACTGCACTATCCCTCCATGGGCGGGGACTGAGACTATAAGGTGCACACACACACTCTTTTGGATACTTGTTTCAAGGGCAGGGTGTAAAGAGGACTTAGGACACTCAGACCTAGATACTGCAAAGTTAACTGTTTTAAAACACTACATACACAAAGCAGTTTAAGGGACCACATATATCTGACAATTCTGGTTGCTTTTCAAAGTCACCAGGAAAAGGAACTTACTTTGAGCTTTCTTTGAAATCTCGTTGGTTTTGATAAATGTATATTTTTTTAAGATTGATGCAATTATTTAAAATAAAAGTCAGATGGATAATGGGGAAAAAGAAAGGGCAAAGAGAAAATTGAAAAGCAGACATGAGTTCAGATTTGCACCTGAGGTGACAAGGAAAGGGAAGAAAAAAGATGTAAAGTTGATCCTAAAGCGACAAGTAGTTTAAGAAAGCAGCATAATATACTCAGCAAACATTCACTGATTTTTGATGGGAAAAGAACAGTTGCAAGTACATCTCATGTAACAACCTTTCTAAAAGGAAAAGTAGGGTGATTCAGCAAAGCCTAACTTAGGCAAAAAGCCAGAGGAAAGTGAACCTACTTCCCAATGGAGTAATAAGATGTACAATGCAAGAACAGACACAGCTGCCTCACAAATGGTAAACACTCCCTAGGCACAAGACAGTTAAAGGAAGACAAAGAGGTCCTCAGCCAAAACTGGCATTTAATAGTTATACCTCTTGATCTAGTTGCCTAGTTCACTCTGCACTCAAATATAAAACTGACAGTCTTAGGGATGCTGACCTGTTGAAAAATACCACAGGCAGAATGGCCTAAACAGGTATATAGTTAATAAAACCACCACCATCCTTTACTTTTAACATAGCTTTTTAGTAGAAATTTCATAAAAATGGACATCACAGCTAAAATGCATTATTAATTCTCCTATATGCTGACAATAGAAAAGAAGCAAACTCAGTGATTCCTACTCAAATGCACTGGATGGGAGTATCAATGTTCCAGTGGTGTTTGCCTTCAAACTGAACCCACCGTAACACACACAAGCAATTTCAATATCCACCATTTAAAATTCACAATCTCAAACTAAGTGAATGGCTATTTATTTATACTTAAAGTGAAAACATTGTATTCAACACCCTAACATAAAGAAGGGATGAGAAACGAGCCATAACTAAAAATTTAAAAGGCTCAAAGCAGCAATTCAGGAAAAATAAAACAGGAAAAGAAATTTTGAAATGCTTCCTCCAGACGTGATGGGGAGCCTAGAAAGCCTACAGCCCTGCGTATTACATGGGCATCAAGGCCACACAGGAAGAGTAGTTGGGACAGGATCATTCATGAGGTGAAGCAACAAAACCACTTGTAGTCTTTAACAGGCCACGGCATTTGCTCAGGACTTGACTTCCTTGTTCTACATCTAGAAGCTGGGAATTCAAGGCATGAGGCCCATGGCCAGCAAAAGGCAGAACCAAACCAGAAAGGGCAAACTGACCTCAGGAAAGGGAAACTGAAGCACTCTAGTTAGGTCTTGCAGAGGTGCTTAACAAACATACCCTTATCCCAACCCCAACCCTAGAAAGATAAAGCCAACTGAAAGAAAATGCACAGCAAATAGACATAATCTTGAAGCTTTTTAAAGAATAAATATTTTTGTAATTAAACATTATGCAAACACGTGCCACGCTTGCTTTATCCATGCATATGCGCTATATACAATTTTGAAAAATACTGTGTTGTCCTCTTGTTTTAAAAGTCATATACAAAGTTTTTGTGTTTTTTGCTTAATCCTCTTGTTGCCTACCCCATTCCCCCTCCCAAGAATTTCCTTTACAAGTAGCTAATAATCATTATTCACTCATGACCTTAGGGTATGAGAGAAAGTGAGTCCAACTGTGTGTGGTATATGTGCAGGGGAGGAAGGGGAAGAGGTCCTTTACCAAAGTACAACAAAATGGCTGATTTGGACATGAAAAGCAGTGTCAAGGAGCTATCTGAAATTTTAACTGTACTACACTCAGGAAAAAGAAAAAGGAAGTCAGCTTTGAGAATGAAGCTACGTTACAAGTTAAAGTTGGAGGGCTTTTTGTGTGTCTGTCACACTTTGTTGGCGGCCTAGAATACTGTTGTACAATGGTTTATCTACCTTTTTTATTACAATATAATTTACTTAAACTTTCCGTTAACAAAACAGAATTCTGGTACTACAGACCAGCGGTGTCAGAATAGGCTTAGTGCCTCCTTGTTTGTGTTTGTGTTTGTTTTAATTGCATGAGCACTCTAGATGGTAAAGTTTTCAGAGTTCATTTTATGCAGGGCCATTCTCAGTCCTCAATGTACTCCCAAAGATCTTTTTCATAGCCTTCATGCACATGCTGTAACAAAACCCTTCGTCGACTCTCACAGTATCTGTAATCAAAGAGAAAACAAAACAAAACAAAACAACTTGTCATCCAGCCTCTGATAATGAAAAAAAAAAGAGGCATTTTACCCACTTTTAAAAAGTACTACTCCTATAGTTTGCCCAGACTTTGAAATAAGCACCTGCTATTACTATGATTTATCTGTACAGACACATCAAACTACTTCTAACTGTTTTAAGGACTGTTTTCTGGTTTCTTTCACTGGTGGAAATCAAACCCAGGACCCTGTGCATGCTAAACAAACACTCTACCACTGATCTATTCTTCCAGCCCAAAATTATTTTTTTTCAAACTCAGATTTCCGGCTCAGGAAATTATTTTAGAGCCCTCATGTTTTAGAAGATGTGACTGAGCCTAGAAACAATGATTAAAACCCATAGTTGCATAAATTATAAAGAATTTCAGTTGGACTGTGGTAGCTACATCTCTACTGAGTTCAAGGCCAGTCTGTTCTACAAAAGAAGTTCCAGGACAGTCAGAGGTTTTATACAAAGAATCCCTTTCTCAAAAACTAACTCCCCCCGCCAAAAGCTTAATTTCATGGGCCATCTATAAAGTCCTGATTAACTCTAAAAACACAAGTGAATATATTGAGATTAAATATCCAGGCCTTCCCTTCCAAATTTCCGGTTCCCTTAGCACTATTAAAAAGATATCAGGGGATGATGAGATGGCTCAGTGGTAAAGAGCACTTCTTGCTTTTCTAGAGGATCTACGTTCAGTTCCCAGAACCCACAATAATGGTGGTTCACAACTGCCTATAACTCTAGCACGAGGTAATATGACACCCTCTTCTGGCCTCTTTGGATATCCAAACACATGCACCCACCCATATATATATATATATATATATTTAAAAAAAAACCTCATTTTTAAAAAGAAATACAAGCATATGAAAAAAACACACTGAAAGAAAGCTTTATGTTGAGGAATCATCCAATCTTGAACTATTTACCCCTGAGCTAAATTTATCCTAAAGATAAAAGCTAACAAAAACTCTAAAAAGAATGCATAATTCACTTGTAAAGAAGCATGACCCAGAAAGAGTCCCTGGATAAAACCAACACCCCGTGATCACCCCCTCATTGCTAATGGCTACTTATTCCTTTTAAAGTCTTTCTTCTCTATGGTGTAGGGATTTCAACTGAAAAAGAATCAGCCATTAGAATACATGGCTAGGTTTCTCTTCTATTTTTGATCAGTCTCCTCCCTGCAACTTTTTGCCCAATCGACAGAAGCAATCTGGGACACACAGAACCACAGTCAAACATACAAAATCTCACCACTGGCAGAATATTTTACTCACCAGCTATAAAAATCTCACCTGTACTTATCTTGGACTTTCTGCTTTATATCCTGCAGAGAATCTTGGGAAATATCTCGTTCGAGGTAGCCCGAAAGCACCTCTGTGGCATTTTCTAGATCTGCTTGATTATTCTGAAAGAAAAAGAATAGAAATTCTGGCTTCAAAATCAAGCTAAAATATAACCAAGTTTAGCTAGTTTGAGGACTATACACTTACTCTCAACACTGATAATCATGGGGGGGTGGGGGCTCAAGATAGAGATTCTTTGTAACAGCCTTAGCTGTCTTTGGAACTAGCTTTGTAGAGAGCAAGCTGGCCTTGAACTCACAGTGCTGGGACTCGACGCCCAGCACAGACGGTCATTTTTTAACTAGTAAAGCTCTTTGTGGCTTTCACCTGTAATAATTTTCTAGCCAAGAACAATTTTAAAAATGTTAGAAAAGAGATTCAACCATTAACCTCTAGAATAACAGTGAGGACAATGTGAGAAAGTCTTTACAATGTTTTATATCTGAGAGCTGCTCTTTTTGAAAACTAAAAAATTAAAACTTAAAAAACCTTATTGTTGCCCATATTTGGTTGCATCGCAGCCATCTGCATAACTTTAAATATATACAGTCTTTTGTTATTGTTTTAAAAGACCATGTCTTTACCGTGAATGTAACCCTGGCTGGCACAGAATTCTCTATATAAATCAAACTGACCTCCAACCAATAGAGATCTGCCTCCCTCTGCCTCTGGAGTTCCAAGATTAAAAGCATGTGTCATCATATCCAGGTGGATAAATCTATTTTACACCATAAGCAAGATCAGTATTCTATGCATCACTTTTTGCTGTTGCTGCCTTTTATTTTTGAGACAGGGTCTCACTATGTAGTTTTGGGTGGACTAGAACCAGGCTTGCTTTCAACTCACAGAGATGTGCCTCCCTCTGCTTCTTGAATGCTGGGATTACACAGGCATGAGCCATCAACCCCTGCTATTCTCTATTTTAGATGAGAGTGGAACCCTTACCATCCTAGGATATTATGAGGCTTAAGTGACACAATTCATATAAATTGCTTATTCAGCACCTGGCACATCTAAAGTTCTTTTGTTGGGTTTCTTGCGGTTTTTTTTTTTTGTTTGTTTGTTTTTGTTTGTTTTTGTTTTTCAAGACAAGGTTTCTCTGGGTAATAGTCCTGGCTATCCTGGAACTCGCTTTGTAGACCAGGCTGGTCTCTAAAATTAATGAGACCCACCTGCCTCTGCCTCCCAAGTGCTGGATTAAAGGTGTGCGCCACCAATGCCTGGCACATCAAAAGTTCTTAATAAGCCTTATTATTAGAAGTTAACATGGTAGTTAGCTTTAGTGTTGACGTGATGGCTAAAAAGGGGGGCTTTTCTAATTTTTCAAATATAGATTCTGTAAGATTGATGCACAAGCTGGGTGTGCCTCCCAATGTTCGGGAAGTAGGGATATCTCTTTGAGTTTGAGAGCAGTCTATACTACAGCGCTAAGCCCTCCTCTCAAAAAATAAGACAAGACAAAACAAATAAAAACTTCAGAAAACAACAACAACAACAACAACAACAAAAAGGAAAACCACCAGGGGGAGAATGAGATAAGAGGGGAAATAATCTGTGGCAAGTCTACAGCGCTAATCCATGATAAATGTACATTCAAATTGAGGGCTGACTATAGTGCTAGCACAGTTAACTAGCTGGCTAAACCACTTAAATCTGATACAATTTAAGATAACAAAAAGGTTTCTCATATTTTTTACCTATATTTTTTTTTAAATAGAAAGGGCTTATGAAAAATTGGCCTTTCCCCCGTCCAGGAACTAATCCTACCTCAAAGATAATGGACTGGTTATTCTTTTTGAGGTAGAAAGCGAAGACATAAGTGTACATAAGTGTGGCACGACACTGGCAGAGGACATCGACTGCTTTCTTCAGGAACTGCACCTCGATCCAGGACATGTTGTGCTGCTGCATCTCCTCCATCTTCTGCTTCACCTGAGCATACAGCTTATGCTCAAAGCGTAGACTCTGCATGTGGTTCATATAGCGATTACAGTAGAACAGGTACCTCTGCAGGGCTGCCCTAGATCGCTGACCCAGTAAGAAAAATAAAGGTCTTGTAATTATGACATATAAATATATAGCATGTATCATGTACAAAAGCTGGTGTATAATTAAGCAACAATGTGATAGCACCTCACGCAGTAAAACAGCTTGTCACTCAAAAGGGCAAAGATACCAAGAGTTGGCAAGTATGTGGAGTGAAGGGAATTGTATGAATGTAAGTTAGAATCATTATGGAAAATACACAGATGGCCCTTAAAAAACTGAAGCAGAACCATCATAAAATTCAGTTTTACCACATTTGGGTATATAACAACAGCAGCAACAACAAATCCTGAAATAATTATTTTGAGCATGCCTGCATTTCTCCATTTGTTGTTTGTAATAATCAAGCCGTGGAATCAGTTCGTTTATTATAAATGAATGGATAAAGAAATGGGGGCATACATAGTAAATGGAATACTGCTCGGGTGGTCATGTGCAACAACATGGCTAGCCATGGAAGACAATGTACTAAACCTATATAGAAATACATATACTACACAATATTGACTTATATGAAGAATCTAAAACCTAAACTCAGAGGAGTAGAGAGTAAAATAATGATACTGGGGGGAACAGGATGGGAGATGGGGGACCAGCCTGTCAATAATACACATTGTATTCAAAAATGAGAATTAATGTCAAATATCTATCCATAAAAAACAATAGGTAACCAAGGTGACAAAATAATTAACTATAGTTAAACATTCATCAACCTTATACACATAGTAAACATCATATCCATGAGTATTATTATTTTTGACTACAATTGCTAATTGAAATTTCATGTATTTGCTGATAAAATAACAGTAATCTAAAATTGTTAATTTAAAATTAAGAATAAAGCTATCTACAGTTACCTTTGATACTACTGCTCTGAATGCCTTACTCTAGTTTTTATACAGCAGCCATGAGCCACATATTTGTCTATTTTAACTCAACATTAAAATGTCTGTTCTACAATTAGTGGGAAACAAATTAAACAATGTTGATGAAGAGTCTTTTTAGCAATACAAAAAAGTTCTCTTGGATAGCACTCTACAGAGGAAGCAATGAGCTAGAAAACACGAAGCAGCTGTGTGTTGCTGGTGGCTGGTGTGTTGTGTGCAAGCTAAACAAATTTACTGACAACCCAGTCTTTGAAAAACCCTGTCTCAAACCCCCACCCAACAGAAAAAAAATTCAAAGCTCTTTTTGCTGAGTCTGAATTTCCTTAAATTTATAGACTTACTAAGAAGGCAAAATGGTCTACACAGAGAGTAGCGAGCAGAGCTATACAGTGAGACCCTCTGTCTCTCTCTCTCTCTCTCTTTTTTAAATCTATCTTTTCTCATTTTTAGGAGACCCTGTCTTTAAAAAAGTAGTAGTACTAGTAGCAGAGAGACAAAAAAGGTTAATAAATGACACCAGGGAGTCATTTATTAACAAGAGTAAAATCTTTAGGGCTGGAAAAGCAGCAGGAGAAAATGACCTAGTTTCTTCAATAAACAAATGGCAATTTTTTAAAAAGGAAGCAAGAGAAGGATAATGTAAAGAGGAAATAAAGTTAATCAAATTCAATTTATAAAGTAAATCTGAGCAAGCACGATGGCTAGTGTGCCTGTGCACACGTCTGACATCCTGAATTTAATCCTCAGCTCTCATGAGGTGGCAGGAAGAAAAGCACATCCTGACAACTGTCCTGTGAGCACGCATGTGTATGTACATGTACACACACACACAAAATACATTTAAAATTTTAATAATTTACAATATAAGATCCTGCCTAAAAAGATGAAAACAGGAAGAAATTTGACAGAATTGGAAGCATCTGAACAATAGTTGATTCAAATAAGCTATATTTCTAAAGAGGAGGTTGTGCATGGAGGTACACACCTGTAATACCAGCTGCACTCAGCAGACAGAAACATGGAACTGCCAAAATTGAGGAAAGCATGGGTAGCATAAATTAAGACCAGCTATGGGCTACAGAGCGAATCTCTGTCTGTGCCTCCACTACCCCATCCCTCAACCAACCAAATATATACAAACTTACAGTAACAATCTAACAGTGAGGGCTAGAGCACTAGAGATATAGTCTGGGGTAAAGCTTAAAGCCCACACTTGTTTGACATCAGTTACTGGGTTTAATTTCAAACATACTCCCAATACACCTACATACAATAATGGCATTCAGTAGTCTATTATTTGATAATATACAAAGTAGTATTAATGACAATTTTGTACTTCAAATATATTTTGCATTATTATTGTCTTACAAAAATAACTGACGTAAAGTCTCTTTCATTATTCTGAACGTCTCTAGATGTGTTGGACGATTTTAAATCATATACTTAGTATCACTAGTGCCTGATATATAGAAAACGATTAGTTAAATTTAAGTGTGATTTTACCACACATATACATATAATTATATTTTTCTCTCTATGCTTTAAAGTCTAGAAATGACAGACACTCGGGTACCTTCTATGATATGCCAAGTGAAGATCTTCACCCAATACTCTTGAGATTTATTTGGGAAGGAGGAATCCAGGAGAGTGGATACCTCTGCCAGGGTAGTAAAATAATAGCCAACAGCTGAACAGGCAGATGGGGCTTATACAGGGCTTCTTATGGGCGGAGTTTTCCCAGGAAGAAGTTATGCTCAGAGATTGGCTAATTTAGTTGGTCAGGGGCAGAGATGGCTCTGATTTCAGAGTCAAACTGTTTCTTTCCCTGGTCCGTTTTGAGTCTTTGGTTAATTTTAGGGCCAGGGCATTTTTTTTTTTCCTACTGGCTCTGTTTTTAAGGACAAAGTGTGTTTCTTCGGCACTGGTTTCAGAGTCAGGTATGCTTCTTTGGTTCTGGGATAAAGTGTTTCTTTTACTAGCTCCTGGGTCTGTTTCCCTCACTAGCTCTGGGTTCAGAGTCAGAGTGCTCAGGGATTGGTTGGTTTTCCTTGGCTGGGGTTCTTACCCTATACCAAGTATATAGAAATATAAATATTGCGCAGCACTCGGTAGGCAAAGGCAGGCAATTTCTTTGAGTTTGAGGCCAGCCTGGTCTACAGATCAAGTTCCAGGACAGGCTCCAAAGCTCCAACCATGTCTCGAGAGGAAAAAAATATATATTTGGAGAAGAATCTACAGTTGATCTTCTTAAGTATATAAACTCTGAACCTCAGGACTACTCAATCACATGCTACAATATCATATACAGCACTGAAGCATCAAGAAAAAAGTCAAACAAAAGTTTGTCGTCCCCCACCCCCGACCTGAGGGTCAGGAAACAGGTTAGGCTGGCCTTGAAATCAAAATGTTTCTCTTTCTACTTCCTACCTCATGAGAGCTATATTTGCATCATGTATCAACCATGCCTGGCAAAGCCATATTATTTCAAGAGTCAGGTAGGTGCTGAACCAACACTTATGAGATAAAAATTAAGCCTATGTGCAAATAAACTATGTAGGAACTAACCTGTCTGTCATGTTTACTTTCCAGTATGTACTATTATTTGCAAATTTGTCAAATTCACAAAATCTAACAGAAAACCCAATTTATCACATTATCACATACGATGTGAGAGGACTTGATTTCATATACTTTGATTCTGAAAACTATTTCTCATTAAAACTCATGAAGCTGGGTGTAGTAGTACATGCTTTTAATCCCAGCACTCAGGAAGAGGAAGCAAGTGGATCTCTAAGCTCCAGGCCAGACAGGACTATATATATAATGAGACCCTATCTCAGGGGGAGGAGGGGAAGCCTACAAATAAAACCCTCAGAAATCAAAGAAGAAAAATTTTAATGCAAATAAGAAAAGCTTAATAATAAATGCCAAGATCCAGAATAAATCAATTCACAATTTGAAAATTGTGAATTCCCAAAATAACCAAAACTAGAAAACTGGCAGGCCAGTCAAGTGTAGCTACCAACTGTTTTTTTCTAAGTAAAGCTATTTGGAACACAATCACATTCATCTGTTAAAGCCTATGGCTTCCTTAGCAGTAAGGAGAGAAATAGACTTGAGTAATCATCATGGAGATTACAGTCAGCAGGTATTGATTCAAACCTCAGTGCTGGGAATCAAAGCCTTGCCCATGCTGGGCGAACTCTACCACAGAGATTCAACCCCTCCCACCTCCTTTTCTTTCTTTTTACATCATCCCCCATTTTGAATGCGTATGTGCGTGCATGTGCACACGTGCATACATATGTCAGCAGGAAGTCAGAGTTAACTTTCAGGAATTAATTCTCTCCACACTGTGGATTCAGGGAATCTAATGCAAGTTTACCAGATTTGTAAAGCAAACGTTTTTACCCACTGAGCTATCTCAATGGCTCCCTCTTCCCTAACCCCTTCATACGTGTGTGCACAAATTCATGTCTAGAGTCAAAGTTCATATAGGTTGTCTTTCTGGATCACAATTTATTCTCACTGAACATGGACCTTGCGGTTTCTGACTAATCTTGCTGGGTATCTAGTCACAGAAGTCCTGTTTCTGCCTCCTTACTGCTAGGATCACAGGCAGTTGCCATGTGGATGCTGGAGATCTAAATTTGAGTTCATGCTTTTTGTTAAGTCTTGTTTTAAAAACTGAGCCATTTCCATGGTTCCTCCAATACACACACCCCTTTGAAACTCTCACTAAATTTCTCAGAATGGTCTTGTAGTAGCTCAGACAGGTCTTATATTCATAATGTTCCCGCTTCATCCTTTGAGTAGCTGGGTTACACACCTGTGCCATCGGGGATGGCTTTATTTGTCTTCTACAGAAAAGGTATTCTGACTTCCAAAGACAGAAGAAGATTCAAATTTTACCACTGTCAGCACAACAGAGCATATAAACTTTTCTACAACACAAAGCACTCAAAGTACCACCAAGGATCTTTCTGGACTATGTACCAAATTTCTAATACTTTTGAAGACTACAATAACCCAAGAGACATCAGGTTAGCATGCGAGAATGGAGAACATAAGGAAAAATCAAAAGGTTAAATAAGCGTGTAATGGTATATCCCATCAAATAAATGACAGTGATATGAAATCTTTCACTGTGCCCTACAGAGGTGTAAGATTCTAGATGGGTCCTACTTGTGAAGTACAAAATCTATAGACCCCTAATTTAAAAGCTATGCACAATATCCCACCTCCACCCCACCCCCTAGAGAACTTAGAAAGGGATTTTACTGAGATGGTGTGGTCTTCAAAAACAAAGCTGTGCTAAATATGATCTCTAGCTAGATCTAATTTGTCTACTAGTCACTCAGAATTCCTAATAACTAGGAATAAAACAGTGCCACACACGAGGAAAAAGCTTTTCTTTTTATTCAACAGAATTATCAAAATCTAAAAGTATATTGGAAAAAGTATGGTATTGTTCTTCAAAAAGATTTTATACAATCTTGATTTCTATTAAGTCATAAAAATGAACTAAGCAGTAGAGTCAAGTCTAAATGGAGCTAGAGAAATCATGACTGCCACTAATAATCTATAAATCAGAATGATACAAAGTAACTACTGACTAAATTTAGGTCAACTTGACACAAGCTAGAGTCATTAGAAAGAAGGGAGCCTCAACTGAGAAAATGTCTCCATAAGATCAGGCATAGGCAAGCCTGTAGGGGTTTTCTTAATTAGTGATCAGTGGAGGAGGGCCCAGGTCACTGTGGGTGGTAACATCCCTGGGCTGGTGGTCTTGGATTCTATAATGAAACAGGCTGAGTAAGCCATGGGGAGCAAGCCAGTAAGCAGCACCCCTTTATGGCCTCTACATCAGCTCCTGTCTCGGTTTTCTGCCCTGTTTGAGTTTCTGCTGTCACTGCTTTTGGTGATGAACTCTTAGTTGGAAGTAAGAATAAAATAAACCCTTACTCCCAAGTTGCTTTTGGTCATGGCGTTTCATCACTGTAAGAGTAACCCTTACTAAGATGAGGACCATTAAATGGAAGTAAGGTAGAGGTACCAAATAGTCAGGTATTAGCAGAGACCACAAAATACGATGGTTTTGAGTCAGAGTCTCTCTGAGCAGTTCTGGTTGTCCTGAAACGCGAGAAGACCAGGCTGTCCTTGAACTCACAGAAATCCTCTTGCCTATTTCTGCTAGGAATAAAAAGTGTCTGCCACCACGCCTTTTTAAGTATTAAGATGATGACAATAACAACAACCACAGCTTAGTACAGGAGATGTAGCTCAGCTGGTAGAATATTTGTTCTTCAATATATGAATCCCTGGATTCTATCCCTCGCACCACATAAACAAGACACAGTGGTATATTATTTCAGTTCTATAAAAATGAATGAATGCAGACAAATTTCATTGACTTGTGATTTGATCTGATTATACAGCCATATAGAAATAAGATATTTGTAAGTGGTTTTACATTCACATATCTAAATACTGTAGTGAATATACTTAAGCCAGCCCTATTAATTTATGAGAATTTTTCTGTTCTTTGAAAGGACTAAATAATATGCATGTAATTCCAGTACTTTGAACCCAGAATGAGCTAAAAGGTTAAAACAAAAATGTCTTGCTGTACAGTGCTGGCACATGCTTTAATCTCAGCACTCAGGAGGCAGAGAAACCATGTCTTGAAAAATCAAAATACCCAGAACACAAATCACCTAAACTACAACCTCCTAAAGAACCTTTTTTTAATATATAATATATATGAAACGTTTATTATTTTAATTATAGCAAAAGACAGTATCTTTACTTCTGCCAATATAGGAGTATATAGTAATATGTATTGGGGGAGGGCATTTATTTCTTTAATTAGAAATGATTGAGGTCTGTATGTTGACTGAACAGAGTCTTGCTGGTTTCAAATTTGCTGTGCAGTCAAAGGCTGGTCTCAAAATTGTGATCCTCTAAGCCTCCAGAGTGTTGGGATTACAGGCAAAAAATTGCCTTTAAAAACTAACAACAAACACATGGAATCCATGTTTTGGATTGTATCCAGCTTGAAATACCATTTAAAAAGCATTTTTTTTTGTTTGTAGACAGGGTTTCTTTGGCTGTCCTGGAACTTGCTCTGTAGACGAGGATGGCCTCAAACTAAGAAGCTGGAATTAAAGCCATATGGCACCAGAATCCAGCTAAAAAGCATTTTTGTCTTTAGGAATTTCAAAAAAAGAATGATTGAATAAATAAAGGATTGGAGAGATGACTCAGACATTAAGAACAATGACTGCTCTTCCAGAGGACCTGGGTTTAATTCCTAGCAACCACATGATAGCTTACAACTGTCTGTAACTCTAGTTTCAGGAGATCTGAAACCCTCACACAGACCACATGCTGGCCAAACACCAATGCATATAAAAATAAATAAATATTTTAAAAAAGAAAAAAAGAACAAAAGATTTAGCCGGGTGGTGGTGGTATATGCCTTTAATCCAGCACTTAGGAGGCATAGACAGACAGAAAGATCTCAGTGAGCTCGAGGCCAGCTTGGTCTACAAAGTAACTCCAGGACTATCAGAACTCTAACACAGAGGAACCCTGTCTAGAAAAACCAAAATAACAACAAAAATGAGTTCTTCAACTACTATAAAATTATGAGAATAAAAAAAAAAAAAAAGAAATACAAACCTATTGTCTGAATCCTTTCCTAATAGCATAGAGACTCCGGAGGGAGTCTGTTTCAAAATTACCTGACCTATCAGAATTGCACGAACAATGAGGCAAAAAGTAAAAATAAGTGACACACTGTGTGCTCTATACAGAATAGCAGCAGTTCACTCAACAACTGCTGGTCTCTTATTCTCCGTGCTGAATGAGCAGAATGCAGAGGTGAAAGCATTCATTTAAGGTCATCACAGGAACCAACATAACTAGCTCAAGTGAAAGAAAGGAAACAGACAAGACTGTCCTTATAGAGGAGGAGGAGGATTGGCATACATACCCCTGTAATTTCAGACATGGGTAACTAAGATTGGGAAGTCAAGGGACAAAGCAAGAACTTGTCACAAAATTCACAAACCAATTACAAAACAAAAAAGACTGAGTGAGCACAATGCACATGCCTATAATCAGCTGTCAGGAAGAAGCAGAAGCAGAAGGATCATATGTTTGATGCCAATCTGGGCTACAGAGCCTGTCTCAGAAAATGAAAATAAATGTTCCTAATTAAGTACCGTAAAAGAGTCCCTTTCTGAATGCTTCTATAAAGTTAACAGAGAAATATGTGAATCAGGCATTCTTAGCCAGTGCTGACCTGCTATAGCTGCAACTCACCTCTTGGGCATCTCTTGCTGCCTTTGCATCATCCTCATTGTAGCGATTACAGTTGTACCTTAAAAAAAATTAAGAAACTTTCAGAAAGCCATAAATCAATTATAAAAGGAACAGGATGTAGCACTTTAACTTGTAAGTGATTATCTAGAACTAGCATTCTGTTTCACAACAGATAAACTGAGATGTCAGCACACACAAGGTCCTATTGATATAGTGGAAAAATCACAAGACTAAATAAAGCAACACTGGGAGGGTTGTATATAATCCAACACCTAATATTCTGGGTGTCTAAAGTACTAGATCAATTCTCCACTAAGTAATAGGAAATTCCACATCTTTTGGATAACCCATCCCAAACCAGCTAAGCTACAACCACCAGAAAACACTGCAGTATAGTACTTATGATTACTACTTATAGTCTGATCTTGAAACTGTTTCTGAAGAGATCATGTTATCTCCTAAGCTATCTGTTACTCACTGTATCTTTCCTTTTATAAGCCAGAGAACCAACAATTACAAGTTACTCTTTAAGAGATGCTGTGGGATGTACTTATATACCTCTATGATTTATTAACTGTCACTGAAAACTGAATGATACATAAAAAAGAAGGGAAGGAGAAAACATATCCAGAGAAATTAGCTCAGAGCAGAAATGATGGGCACTTCCTTTGTCCTTGTTACTATGTATCCGGTTTTTTTGGTCTCACTAGTCCTGGTTAGCTTGAGACCAAACTAACCTAAAACTCAGAGATTTGTCTGGCACTGGTCCCCAAGTGCTGAGATTTAAGTTATCTGCTACCACACCTGGCTACTACATATCTTTTATGAGAGACTACATTCTGATTGTGGCTATTTATTTACTGTAAAGTCCCCTTGCAATAGACTTTCAAAGAGAGATTCAGAATAAATACATAAAAGTAGTTCAGTTAGCAGGAAGTCAAAAACTAACATGATGCTGCAGCCATCTGTTAACAGTGAACTTTTTATTTTAGAGCTAAATGAAGAGATTTTCAAAACCCCATCCCTCCCTTCATCCCAAAGAAAAACTTGAATTTAAATGTTAAAAGTGAAATGCATGGGGCTCAAGAGATGACTCAATGGCTAAGAATACTTGCTACTCAGAAGGACCAGAGTTTGATTCCCAGCATACACAGTGGGCAGCTCAAAACCTTCTGGAACTCCAATTCCAAGTAATTTAATGCCCTCTTCAGGTCTTTTGTGGGTAGCTGTTGAAAGATGAGTGACCATTTGTGTAACAGAAGCAGATTCACACACACTCATGTTTTTTTTTTTAATCTAAAATTTAGTGGTACAGACTTACCAACCTTTTCAGAATTGTTTTTTGAATATGTGTGAGGGCACATGGTGTTAAGAATTCAATCTAAAGCCTCTCGCACGCTAAGCCAATGCTCTGCCACTGAGCTTTATTTTCATCCCTTCAAAACTGTAATGGTGTCTATGTATTTGTATGCACACATAACATACGAATACATGTTATCTTTGATTTCACCAAATTATGTATCAGAAAGCAGTTTTAAGAGACGTGCTAATCTATGTATACGTTTGTGTGGTGGTATATGTGTGTTCAATACCTTGCTTTGACTTATGTTTGAGTAACAGATGGTTTTGGCGATAAGATGATCTCTTACAAAAATGTACCAGAAAACAGAAGGAAGCAGGGGAATATTTCATAAAGTTTTTAGACATTCCCTTAAGGAAAATGTGAATCTATTATGTTTACTCCAAGAATTGGCCAAATACCCTTGCCTATTTTTACTCAATAGGCTACAAATTTCTGTTCCAAATGAAATATTTGGTGGAAATATGATTTAGTTTTTAGGTATAGGATTAAATCATAAATCTCAGAAATTTTAAGTTATACTTTTATTTATTTAATCTTTGATACTAGCCTATTGTCTATTTTCCACTACTGAGATGTAACCACAATTGGTCTTAAAGTAACACAGATAATTTATCTGGATTAGAAAGATTTCATGTTAATTTTCACCTGATCATTCAATGTTTTTACTTGATGTACTAGTTTACTTAATTTAATTGAATGATCACCGCCTTTGATTTCTTTTCGTAAACTATTAACATTGGCTCTTTTCTTATCTCTTAAACATCACAAATTTCAATTGTGGTTAATATTTGAGACATGGTCTTTCTATGTAACCCAGGCTTGCCATCATTTAGAGATCCATCTGCCTAGTGACTGCTGGAATTAAAGGTGTGTGCCACCATATTCACTCCTTGAAATGTTTTTTAAAAAGGAATTTAAAGCACTAGCTTAATACAGGCTTTTCCTTTCCAAAACTATTGAAGATTTTAAGGCTAGCAAAGCAAATATTTAGGGTCTACCTATATTTATAACTCAAATAACTGATTGTGCTACTTGGAATATTGTTTTTACAAATCAAAGGCATTTTAAGAATACACAGAAAACAAAAGAGGATACAATTGCAAGGTCAACAAGCATATAGGCATGACCCTTTCGACCAAGTCATCATTCAGTCTATGGTAGTTCTCTTGCTTTAATTAAAATCTGAGTCATGGGCCGGGCGATGGTGACACACGCCTTTAATCCCAGCACTCAGGAGGCAGAGGCAGGTGGATCTCTGTGAGTTCGAGACCAGCCTAGTCTACAGAGCTAGCTCCAGGACAGGCTCCAAAGCCACAGAGAAACCCTGTCTCGAAAACAAAACAAAACAAAAAATCTGAGTCATGATCAGTGATGTCATCAAACTCAGAGTCTTGAAAATAATCTTCTTTATCCACCCTCCCCCAAACACTAGGCTGGCATAAAAAAAGCATACAGTGACTTTATTTTAGTTTCTGGGAACCCTATAGTTTGCTCTCCTAAAATACATGCGTGTTCATGTGTATGTGTGTAGACATGCATGCAACAGCAGCAACACACACCTTTAATCCCAGCACTGGGAAGACAGAGGCAGGTAGATCTCTGAGAATTCCGGGCCAGCCTAGGCTACACAGAAAAACCCTGTCTGAGAGAGAGAGAGGGAGAGAGAGAAAATCTGTCTTCAGCTCTGACAATGGCATATTTCCTTTATTCCCCATTAACAAATCAGTTACTACCTTGGAATTAGCTCCAGAAATAATCCCTATCACCAATCCTCCAATCACTGTAACTACAAGTCCCAATTAAATGAAAAGCAAGTGCCTAATTTTTAAGTTCCTATCGCTTTATCTTATTTTGAAGCTGCACCCTTCCCCTTGCATTCAGTCATCAACAGTGCTGGAATTATTTGACAATGTGTAAACCGCACAATACAAGCCCCTTTCATTTAACCATGCCACTTCTACCCTCACAGCATCCAAACAATTTTATACTGAAGTTCTATTTCCTAACTTCTCCTATCCCCCACAACTTACCAGGTTAACCAACAGAAAGCAGGAAGGTGACACAAATTGATAAAAGCAGGTTATCTGCATATTATAACACCCAGAAATACATTCATTTCTCATCAGCATATGTGCTTAGCTCCTATGTTTCTCAAAACTCATCTAAAGTTTAACTTGTATTTTCCAAAATAAATATGCATATAAGAAAATTATCTATTGGTACAGAAGGAAATGAAGGGTGCCTTTTAAAACAGGAAGCCTTTAAATCTAAGGATTATGCACCATGAAAACAATCTTTCCTGGAGCAAAAAAATAACTGACGATAACTCCCAACTGTACTGAACACAAACAGATGTCTTTATCCTTGTCATTATACCCTAAACAATATTGTTCACAAAACATTTACTATGTGCAAGGTATTATAAATAATCTACATACATGCAAGTACTATACTATTGTATATAATGCTCAGATTTTGGTATCCACAGAGCATCCTGGACCCCATCTCCAATGGATGCTAAGAGACAACCGCACATGGATCTAACATTAACTCTCAGTCTTGAAGAACTTATAAAATTGCACAATAAAGGCCCATTCAAAGAACTATTTACAAGTTATAGGTAGTTCTTCCAAATAGGAATGCAAGCCTATTTCAAAGAGAAGTTAGGCTGGGTCGGTGGTGGTACATGCCTCTAATCCTGCTTGCTCTACAAAGCGAGTTCTAGGACAGCCAGGAGTGTTACACAGAGAAACCCTGTCTCAAAAAACCCAACCAAACCAAAGTGTCAAAGAGAAGCAAAAAATACAGATTTTTGCTCAGTAGCTTTCCAATTTTTTTAATTGTTGTTTTGTTTTGTTTTTTAAAGACAGGGTTTCTCTGTAGATTTGGAGCCTGTCCTAGCACTTGCACTGTAGACCAGGCTGGCCTTTTAACTCACAGTGATCCACCTGCCTCTGTCTCCCAAATGCTGGGATTAATTAAAGGTGTGCGCCACCACCGCTCAGCACTTTCCAATTATTAAAGACAACAACTATTGTTTAATGATGTATAGGGTAAGAAAAACACACAGGTTAAATTTCTGTAGATAAATTCTAGTTTACAATGTCTACCTAGAGTCATCAGACAATGTAACTAAAAAATAAAATCATGAACTTAAAATATACTCCATCTCTGTTCAGTATTCCTTTTATTTTGTTTCCAACTACAATTAATGAAAATCTCAACCTAAAGGTTAATCTCAATTATTAATTCCTGTGAGAAATGACAACTTAATCCCTCTCTGTGTCTCTACCTAGCATATTCCTCTGTTGAAATACATATTGTTCATTTAGCTCAAGTCAGGTGATAATCAAAGGCAGAAATATCATTTATATGTGATATATATGTCATAATTATGTTAACATACTCTACCATTTGTCCAACCTACCAGGCAGATCCATGTGGTTCCCAAGGGCCAAGACACACCCAGCAAAACTCTGCTTTACAGTTCTGGTTACGACAAACCATGTGATTACAACCGCCATCCTTCTCAATTGTGACATGGCATTTGGGACATTCCTATGGAAAAAAACTATAAAGTTGGTGTCAATGCTACACTAAGCTGTATTGCTACCATTGAGAGAAGCCAATTCTAGATTTCATTTATCTATTAGAGTTATTACACTTAAGTCACTTACAAAAGTAGTAAGCATGTAATAAATACCATTAAAAAAATAACCTGTATCATTATTACTGGGGTTTTTTTCTTTGTTTTGTTTTTGTTTTTCGAGACAGGGTTTCTCTGTGTTACAGTCCTAACTGTCCTGGAACTCACTTTGTATACCAGGTTGGCCTTGAACTCAGAGATTCACCTGCCTCAAAAACATGTGCCACCACTGCCCTGCTTATTATTGGGTTTTAAAAGACAAAAACAGTGTAATTCCTTTTATAAAATATTTATTTTTCTTTATATGTCTGTGTGCAGATGACTGTGGAGACCAGAAGAGGACATCAGATCTCCTAGAGATCGAATTATAGAAAGTGGCGAGCCACCATGCATGTGAGAATTGAACCCAGGTCCTATGGAAGAGCAGCCAGTGCTCTCAGCTGCTGAACCATCTCCACCCAGTGAAAACAATCAAAATATTTTTAATCAGAGATAGTAAGCTTGATAAAACTTTGAAGTATTTTACTCATCGTGACACACTGTTGAGTGCCACCTAGCTGCAGAGTACTTTCTATCCTGAGCACTACTCAGAGCATTATATGCAGCATAGCATAAACCCATAAGCCTTGTAACAGTGCTATTTATTCCTGTTGATCACAAGAATAAGAGACAAAAAGAAATAACAAGGAAACTAATTCTAGGTCACAAAGATCCATATACAAGCAGTCTGGCCTTCAGGGTCAGGCAAGCAGGTAATCAGGCCCCAACTTTCAAACTGAATTCATAATGAAGTTCACAATTTCCATTTTTGTTCTTATTTACTTTTTAACCATTTGTTTTTGTTGTTGTTGAGACAGGATTTCTTTACAAAGCCCTGCTGTCCTAGAACTCACTATATAGACTAGGCTGGCTTCAAAGTCAGGGATCCAGATGTCTCTGCCTCCCAAATGCTGGGATTAACTATGTGTGCCATATCTAGCTTTTCAAAAACTTAAAAATTTGAGTGGTGTAGAGATTGTGTACACAAGTATGCGAGAGATGACGCTAGATGTCCTGCATTATAGCTCTCAGCCTTACAACTCTCAGACACTTTCAGTGAACCTGGAGTTCTTTATATTCAGCTATGGGGGTTGACCATTAAGCTCCAGAAAGTCTGTCTCTGAAACTCAGCACCGGGGTTACATGGCCACACCTGCCTTTTTTATGAGTGTCAGGGATCTGAACTCAGTTCTTCATACTTGAATGGCACTTATCCACCAAGGCATCTTCTCAGCCCTTGTTTTTATGGCTTGATACGAGGTCTTGTGTAGCTTGGGCTGATGTTGAGCTTCTGATCCCCACCTTCATTTCTCCAGTGTTGAGATTACAAGATGTGTCAGCACATCCAGTTCATATGGTGTTTGGGATCAAGACTAATGAGGGCTTTGTGCCGTTTAGGGAAGTTCTCTATCAACTGAGCTACAATCAAAGCCCCAAAGAGACAGAATTTACAACTAGCTTCATTAATAACATATTCAAAATAAAAATAAGGAGTACTACATGGGTCCACTTTCAATGTTTTCACTTATGTCATAGTTTAGATGTATAGCATAAAGTAGATTCAGAGAAACAGTTCTGCGATGTCTACTTTATATAATCAAAACTTAAAATTAGTTACTCGGCTTAAATCCTGGCCTCTGAAGACTAACTTCTAAAAAGTAAAACTGAGAAACTTAAGGTAGACAATTACATTAGCTGACAACATAGCTCAGGGTTGTAAGGGTACTTACCACCAAGTCTAACAGTTCAATACACTGTACCTATATAGTGGAAGGCAAAATCTGATTCCTGAGTGTGGTTCTCCCCTACCTAGACATGAGCACATATATGTACATGCACACAATACAAAAAATTATTTTAAAAGAAAAAAATTGACATTAGGCCAATATAAGTGAAGTGAATGAAGTATAGTCACATTTAGTTTAACAAAATAAGCTTTATCTACAGTAAATCCATGTTTTTAGAATAAAAGTAAAGCACTACGCATAATGCATTACAGCTACTCAATAAAATAAACACCTGAAGGTAATTATCCATATGTAGCCATTGGAGATGGGGTGCAGTAGACAAAAGCTATCATAAGGCTCAAACCAACATAAACTCACACTGCTTTTGCTAATGCTTATACACCTACCCTTCAATATGGTGATTATCAACAGTTCAGGGGAGGGGTAGTGGTGGGAGGATACACACAGATGGACCAACCTTTGTGTTAGCTGCAATCCAATTAGAAGTTTCACTGTCATCATCACACTTTTTAATCCACTTCTTCAACCACTATTTGAAAATAACAATCATTAGAATATAACTAAAACCTTAAGGATAGCAAATTATTTCAGCACTTAAACAAAGGAAATTTTTAAATGTAAGACTCAAAAAGATATAGATTATCACTAGGCATATTCTCAAAGTAGGAAAATTTGTGGGTGTAAAATCTCATTTATTGCTGGGTGGTGGTGGTGCACGCCTTTAATCCCAGCACTCAGGAGGGAGAGGCAGATGGATCTCTGTGAGTCTGAGGCCAGCCTGGTCTACAAGAGCTAGTTGCAGGACAGGTTCCAAAAACTACAGAGAAACCCTGTCTTAAAAAACACAAAACAAAACAAAACAAAACAAAAAACCCAACTCATTTATATGGGATCAACCGAAGAACTGAAGAATTTTGACTTGTTAAAGTTGGATGGGAAGCCTAGAACCTGGATGAAAAATCAAATTAAGTTATTCCCCCCCCCCAAAAAGCCTAACTACTCATGGATATTCTAAGATAAGCAGAAACTTAACACTCAAACAAATGCACACAGAATACTTGCAAATGATCACCTGAAACAAAAAAGCATAGAATAAAATCTTCCATTTGCTAGTACAAAGTCATCAGCTGTTATCTTTAATCAAATCATCAAATCTTAGGAATGTACTGACTCGTTTTTTTTTTTTAAAAAAAGGAAAAAAAAACAAATCTCACCTTACATTTAACAGGATCATGCCAATTTTCGCCACAGTTAAAGCTGTTAAAGGACACAGGAGTTTACATAATTAATACTACTCACTGTAAGTAAGCAACTCAACCATTTCACCTCTACATTTCCCCAGTATTGCCAGGAAATTCTAAATGATTGGCAAATACCAAGGCAGGGAATGTGTTTATTTTACAGTGAATTTTTTTTTCCAGAATTAGTGTGTTCTAGGACCAGCAAATAAAGAATCAATATGTGTGATATGGGAATGATTAAAAGCATAAAGACATGCCCTGATAACTACACAGTAACTGTTAGCAAGACTGGCTCACTCAGATTGTACCGAGAAACTTTTAGTAGTGTTTCACCAGTGCATACTCTATCTTCATACGCTAAAGAACAAAAGGCTGCATTTGAAGATTAATTCGCAAATTCATACTAATATACAACAAATAATACATTAGATACAAAAGGGGACATCTTTGCATAATGTAACTAGATTAAACTCAGCCCCATAGAGAAAAATGGTGTTGGTCAATCTATTCAAAACAAACCAAAAAAATTATGGTGGCTTACATCTGTAATCCTAGTACTAAGTACATGTATGTTTACAGGTTAGGAGTATAAATGAAGAAAACACAAATGCTTCTGGAAAAACATCGAATTGGGCATGGTAACCTGTAAAATCCTAGGCCTCAAGGAGAATACAGAATTCAAGGCTAGCTTCATAACACCCTTCCTCAAAATGGGGGCGGGGCAGGGCAGGGATGACACACAATACAACAGTGTGCCCACTGGTGTGGAGCCCACCAGGCTGCAACGACTATCTCCAAACCAATGGCTACACAGAAGGAGCCTGGTGAGCCACAAGGTAAGATACGAATGTGGGAAAGGAATTCCAGGGATGCAGCAGTAAAGGTTGATAGGGACAGGAGAGATTGGGGGGGGGAGGGGGTTAGAATAATCAAAATGTACTGGTTATGTGTAAAATTATCAAAGAAATTTAGTGAAACCTATACAAAACGAAACCGGTTATTAATGTGATTATCACATAATTTATAAAAATGTTTGTCAAAGAGAGAAGTAATGAGATTAAGGATATGATTATTTCTCTGACAAGGTAGACAGGAAATCCGATAAAACAGGCAACCAAGGAGCTTCAAGTGTATACTGCATTTCATTATTTCATTTCCTAACAAAAAGAGACAAGGAGATGGAGAGATTGCTGAATAAATAGAGCATTTGTTGCTCTTGCGGTGGACCCAGGTTTAACAAGAGCACTCACATGAGAATTGACAACCAACTCCAGTTAAAGGGATCTGATGCCCTCCCTCTTGTGGCCTCTATGGATACTGAATGCACGTGATATACATACATATAGGTAAAACACATACACATAAATAAATCTAATTACCTTAAAGAGATCTTTACAAAAAAAAAAGAAATGTTTCTTATTAAAACAAAAAATTGAGAGTATGCAAGGAATCAGATTTCATCTTCTCGTCTATAACAAAGGCAAATTTGATGTGTGGTAGCAGGCACATGTGTGCTATAGTAAATATCTGAAAGTTAGAGGACAACATCTGTCTTCATCTTTGATCTTCTTTGAAGCAGGGTCTCTCTTCCCTTTTTAGTATTCACTGCTGTGCACACTAGCCTACCTGGCTCACAAATTCCTAGTAAATCTCTTGTTTTTGCCTCGTATCACTATAGGAGCGTTGGGAGTACAGGTGCAAGCTGGGGTGCCCAGCTTTATGTGGTTTGGGGCCTCAAGTCCCTAACTCTTGCAGAGTAAGCACTTTACACACTAAATCATCACCCCAGGTCACAGGACTAAACTCTAAAACTATAAGGGCACTGTTGATCTTTAATCAACACAATTTGCACTGTATACATGCTTGCATGTTTGTGAATTTATTTGCTCTTTGGGGATATTTATTAATTCGACGGCGATTTTTAAAGAATCAGAGCATTACTGAAGTATCTACCAACGAAACACCTATTTGTTAGCACTAGTTCCTTCATTTTCTTTAAAAAGATAGTAAAATCTTTTTACCTTTCTGCTATATTCTTCAAGTGCCCCACCCTGATAACAATGTTGAAACCTAATCATCAGAGTGACAGCATTAAAAGGTAGGGGTTGTTGGGTATGATCGTGTATGGCTTTAACCTAGCACCCGGAAGGCAGAAGCAGGCAGATCCCCGTGGGTTTGAAGATGCCAGTCTAATCTACTAATCTAATCTACTAGTGAGTTTTAGAACAGCCAGCAATATGTAGAGACTGTTGCAACACCACCATGCCCCCACCCCCTGCAAGAATACGCAGGCGCACACATGCACACTTAGGAATGGCTTATAAGGTGATTGTCATGAGGGTTGTATTCAGGAGCAATAAAGAGATGCACACAGCTCTATTGTTCCATCTACCATGTGAGATTATTCACAAGATATTCTCTGTATAGTAAAAAGCAGACCCACAACTGCTGTGCAACAATCCGCTTGTCCATTGTAAAGCTCTGTCAGTTGAACTGCTTTAACAAAATCCAGATTGGGCCTGGCAGTGGTTGCTTACGCTTTTAATTCCAGCACTCAGGAGACAGAGGCAGGTGGATCTCTGTGAGTTTAAGGCCAGACTGGAATACAGAGCAAGTTCCAGGACAGGCTCCAAAAGCTACAGAAAAACCCTGTCTCGAGGGGAAAGGGTGACACCAACAACAATAAAAAAGCTGACTGCTGAATATAGTCAGTATAGGAAGTATAGTCAGGCTGACCAAACTAAAGATGATGAGAAGCAGAAGGGCTGAGTCAGGAGACACCAGCCAGACTCAGATTTGGGTATGCCAAACTGACAACATGGCAGAGCATAAATAAGGAATATGGGTTAATTTAAAATCTAAGAGCTAATTAGTAAGTTAATAATGAGACTGACTATATTGGTCAAGCATACTAAGCCTCTGTGTGGTGATTTATGTATGAAGTAGGCACTGGGTATTTGGCACCCAACAGCTGCAAGACAAGAAACTTTCACCTACACATAACAACAACAACACAAATAATTCATCAGCACACTGACCCATGATTTCCCAGTTTGAAAAAGAAATTACTGCTGTGTAAATACTAGATAATATTGGTATTTTGTTATAAGAAATTGGTAGTGAGAAATAAGGAAGGCTTTTTAACAAAGCTTAAAATGAGAAAGCAGATTTGTAAATCAATAATAGACAGGGTTTGATGTGTGTTAGAAAAAGAATATATTATCATGAATAGAGACTATTCCAGGGTGATTGTGTAAGACTTGATAATGAAGGAAGAGGTATAGAGAAAGTCTCCATCATCTTAAAAGAATATCTACCAATTCTAAATAGAATGCACGTGGAGCTAAAAGCAATAAAGGTCATTCTGATGATGTCACTGATGAAAATGAAAAACATGCTATTGCAAACTAGCACACAACCATTCATTGTAAAAAACAGAACATGACTTGACTGTGTGAGTACCAGACTGCTTTCATGCAACGTAGAATGTATAAATAACGAAACTCAATTTTTGATTGAATAAATGTCAGTGAAGATGCAGGTTGGCCCCTGAATGCAAAGATGGACTTAAAGATGAATTACTAATAAAAAAGGAGTAAGATCTTTCAAATTGAGATAGTCTCAGGCTATCCATATAGGAAAAGAAAGCCAGTTAAACAGTTCAAAGACACTAAAATGTTCCCTATCTTTAGTGTTGAAAAATCTCTATTAAGTTCAGACAGAGGAAAGTATACTATAGAACTCTAAAGTCCCAAGATACCAACAGCCAAACAACCAAAATTACCTACAAAACCATACACCAACATTTTCTTGTAAGATTAAAACTTGTCTAAATCAAGTAAATTTTTTGTTTTTAAATAAACCATATTATTCCTTAATCTGTGAGAACAACATACAGGTAGAGAGCAAGAGTCAGATGGAACAAAATACTACATGACTATAGCAATTTGGACCAGAGAGATGGCTCAGTGGATAAAGCACTGCCACTAAGCTTTGACTGAAGCTTGATGCCCAAGATACAATGAGCACTTAAGCACTATACTCACACCTGAGCTTTCTGAATGATGAAAAAAGGGGGAAATTAGCCCAGATTTTTAAGCTTTCTCTCCTTAAAAGTTAAAATGAAATACAAAGAAAATTAAGATTATAGCTTCATTTTCCCTTGATACATTCAGTAGGTGTGGCGGCACATGCTTATTCCAGAACTGGGGGGGGGGGGGATTAAAAGAGAATAAACATGAGTTTGAGGCCAATATGGGCAATGAGAACGAGACTGCCTTAAAACAAAACACACACTCTCTCTCTTTCTTCTCCCTCCAAAAGATAAACACATCAAGGAGAGGAAAAAAAAAATCTTAAGATGTGGTTTCTCGTTAACTTAAAAGATATAAACTATTTCTAACTAGTATCTCCCAGCATGAAGCTTCCCCCATTTTATTACCAAGATTAAAAAGAAAACACAGAAACTCTACATTCACTTCACTCATTTAGCAAATCACTTGCTTACCAAAACTGGCGCCCACATTTGCAGCGAACAGGTTTTGCATCAGGATATTGGACTTTGACAACATGGTGGCAATCTGGGGCAGGACACCACTTTAACAGTCGGTTGCACTAAAATGCAAGTTAGAAAATCTTTAAAATGATAGCAAGTTAAACACATAAATCTAGAATAAAGTTGGAAGAGAGATAACAAAACCCTATGAAGTACAAAATCCCTATGAAGCACACAGTAGTGCTCTGAAGGGTAATATCCTCTTCATTATAATTATCACCTTTTAATAAGAAATGTGTTAGGTTTTTGTCCACCTAGGAAGATAAATGATATTTCCATTTTACTTTATTAAAGTGTGGCAGATTAGCCAGGCAGTGGAAGTGAATTCCTTTAATCCCAGCATTTGGGAGGCAGACAGGTGGATCTTTGTTGAGGCCAGCATGGTCTATACAGTGAGTTCAAGGACAGCCAGGGTTGTTACAAAAAGAAACCCTGTCTTGTAAATCCAAAACCAAAAAAGCCAAAAATCAAAAACCAACAAAACAAAACAAAAAAAGAAGAAAAGAAAAACTTGTTTATTTCCTTTTTTGAATAAAGTTCAGGACCACATGAAGCAAGTGTTTTACCTAAGGAGCTACACCCCAACTCTAGAAGATCTAGTTTGCCGATCCATTATTTGTTTACTTTGGTTTTAGGTACCCGCTAAGGAAGCCTTTGACCACAAAGCTGTATCCCCAGACCCTCACAAGATTAATCATCTTTAAAATTCTAATTCTATAGAACATAAGAACTATTTTTTATGCTACCTACAAATCCCACTCCTTAGCTTGTTTCCAGATTTATAGCTATCTTTCTACCTCAGCCTCACTATTTCTGAGACTACAGGATTAAGCAACCATGTGCCAGTTTAGACATTTTTGTGATTACTAACCTCAATTCTAGAGTAAACTTTTACTTCTGAGACAAGGTCTTACTAAACAGTCACAGCTGGCCTGAAATTCACTCCGTAGACCAGGCTGACCTCCACATATATGTTTGCTACCAAAATCAGCCCAGGGAAATTTTCTTAAAATGCAAAAAAATCAGGTAAGTTCATAATCTGGGAAGGTGTTTAGATGCTATACAACAGCCTGGGAGAAACTAATGTACTTACTTCATTTCTCCGTTTGACTAGAAAAAAATTAAAAACACAAAACCACTCTTTTTTTGTTTTGGTTTTTTGAGACAGGGTTTCTCTGTGGTTTTGGAGCCTGTCCTGGAACTAGCTCTTGTACACCAGGCTGGTCTCGAACTCACAGAGATCCGCCTGCCTCTGCCTCCCAAGTGCTGGGATTAAAGGCGTGCACCACCACCGCCCGGCCACAAAACCACTCTTACACAATAGGAAAAGACTGACTCTTACTAGTTCCTGAAAATAAAATAATCCTTTTAACAATTGATTCTCAACTGTTTCTACAACTTTTTTTTTTTTCCGATTGTTTGCTTGTTTGTTTTAAGACAAGGTCTCGCTATGTAGACCTGGTTATTATAGAACTGGTATGTAAGCTGGCCTATAACTCACATAGATCCACTAGTCTCTGCCTCATGCATTGTTTAATTTTGTTTTTTGTATATCTGTCTGTTTTAAGAAGTTGTCTCTCACTAGGTAGTCCAGAGTACTCTCAAACTCACAATTCTCTTGCCCCCAACCACTCCAGGGCTACGATTTCAAAGAGTGTACCATCCCACTCAGGTAAAATACAAACTATGAAATATTTTTATTACATAAATAAGAAATGTCTTAAGTAACATTCTGCATCATGATTCAAAAGTCAACTAACTGGCTAGGAATATAACTCATTAGAAGATCACTTGCATAAAGTATACCTATAATATGCAATTTTATAGTTTAATTAATAAAGACTATTTTCTAGAATTAAAATACCAAGCTATACAGACGTTAACTATCATGGACTTGGCACTTTCAATAAAACCTGAGAATAAAACATTACAGTGTTCTTTGTAGCAGCTACTCAATTGGGCCAACACAGCACAAAATCAGTAAGAATAAATATGCAATAAATATTTTCCAATAAATACGTTTTTGTTTGCCTGTTTTCTGAAACAGTATCTCTCATTGTAGCCTAGGCTGTCTTGGAACTCACAGGGATCCACCTCTGCCTCCCTCAATGATGGAGTTTTAAAGACATGTCCTCTTTTTTTTATATTATTATTTATTCATTCATTCATTTAAATTTTTAGTTTTTCGGAAAGGGTTTCTTTGTGTAGCTTTAGAGCCTATCCTGAAACTTGCTCTGTAGACCAGGCTGGCCTTGAATTCACAAAGATCCTCTTACTTCTGCCTCCTAAGTGCTGGGATTAAGGGCAAGTGCCAACACCACTTGGCCCAATAAATCTTTGGTTGCTAACAGAGGTAAGGCCATTTGCTGACCAATGGAGTCTAAGAAAAAAAAAATATATAATACAGCATCTTTTTTATTTTAAAAATTTTTGCCTGTATGTATGTATGTATGTGCACTGTATTCATGCCTGGCCCACAGAAAACATAAAGGGCCCTGGATCCTCTGGGACTGGAGTACAGACAATTGTGAGTTACCATGTTAGTCTTGGGAAAGAACCCAAGTCCTCTCAAAGAGTAGTCAGTGCTACTCTCTAAAACCGTAATTACAGTATTCATTATTGGCAATGAATCGTAAGACAGAGAAATATACGTGATTATGACAAGTTAATAACATACTGCAATTCTTTGCTAGGAATAAAAAAAACAGTAAAGAAAAATACTGTTAAAAAGTAATTTGATGAGCATGGCTCAAAATTATTTTCTTTTAGTAAGTGTTCTAAATAAGATAGCAGGCTCTTGACAGTTTGAAAACTAGTATTTCAACTGAAAAATTAGCATTTTTGGGCACCTAGTACCCAGGAGGCAGAGGCAGATGGATCTCTACAAGTTAGAGGCCAGCCTCATCTACAGAGCCAGCAAAGGCTACACTGTGAGACCCTGTTTCAAAAAAACAAACAAAACTACAACAAAAAGAACCTAACTAGTATTCGTATTAAGAAACAGAATTTTTAAAAACTAAAATTAGACAAGCATAAACCACTTACCTCTACAAAGCTATTTGTTATTAAATGCTGATATTTTAATTTAACTTTTGAATCTGTGATCAGACGCCTGAAACAAATGAAAGAAATTTATTAAGTTTATTAAGCCAAGTTTCAACACACATATATATAAAATGTAACTTCAAAAACTGTTTAGACTATAGCATAAAAACTACTCTAAGTTGAAAATATCCAAACGTACATCCTCCATCAACTCAGAAAACTACTAGTCCTAACAGTGATCTCCAAGTTTCTGTAATGTGACTTGGATAGACATTTTCCTCATATTTTATATTCTAAATATTCTGTTTTGCTGAGTTCACATAGCAGTCTAACAACTGCAAATTTTCATCCCTTATAAGTCTTCTGAGAGCAATTTGTAACTGTCTTCCTTTGAACCCCCGACAGTCCATGAAACCAAACAAATGTCAAAGAATGGACCCAGTATTGTGTATATAATTTTGAAGGTTGCCTTTATGTGACAGTTCTGAGAAATTAAATGAAAAAACTGACAGCAACCTGGTTTTTTACGAACACTGATGAACAACAAATTGTGTAACTCACAACACAGAGGCATGAAAATGAGGAACAATAAACAGTTGAAGTATCATTAGTTTTATGGGAAGCATCATTCTGAATGTCATAGGAAAATGGTGTTAAGAGCTAAGGACAAAGATCAATGAATGGTTACGCCTCTGCCAAAAGCATCCAAGAAAAGGTTCAATCACCACTGTCAAGGTTTTTTTTTTGTTTTGCTTTTATTTTTAGTTGGTATTAAATCAAGTGGTAGTGTGTGATGGCCACTGACAAACAACCTTTTAACAAAAGTATATAGTCTAATATTTTTAATAAGACAATTTTGTATGCTCTGATTTTGTCATTAATTCTTTTTAACTTTCAAATTTTATTGTCATTATTATCAATGATATGGGGGTCTCTATGTAAAAGATGATGATAATAATAATAATAATAATAAAGGGGTCTTTATGTAATACACACTTCTGGCTGTCCTCGAACTATGTAGACCAGGCTTGCCTTGATTTTACAGAGATCCTTCTGCCTCTGGTTCCCAAGTGCTGGGATTAAAGGCATGAGCTATCATGTCCAGTCCTTTCATTTTTCTTAAACTTCATATCCTCCTTCCTCTGTCCTTCCTTAAAACCTCACTCTCTTATGCCACTCTTAGATGAACTCATATCAGGTCATATGGGGGCAGGGGAGACAGGTCTCACTCTGTAGCCTAAGCTGGCCACCTAAGCTCTATGTATACCAAGAGGACTTGAAATCTGCAGTGGTTGTAGGTGTAGTTGTCTATGCCTAGATCCCAAACATACCGTTCTAGTTCCTCAAAAATCCTAAATACCATGCATCTTCAGGAATACTATTATATAAGACTATACCCATCCCCCACCCAGAATAGACAGAGAAAAATGCCATGAAGGGGACCTGAGGTGAAACAACCTTCATTTGAGTATGGCTCACAACTATGAGAGTAAGTTCTTTGACCTTTCTATTCCTCTGGTTACTACTCTGCAAAAACAATTTGTAAAATTAAGGATCTGTGAAACTAGATGTGTTTAACAAATAGCATGTGCTCACTAAACATTAAATGCACAAAAGTTGAAAGAATTCCCCATCATTTAATTATAGCAATTAGTATAATCTTCTTTTCATATCTTTTTTTTTTTTTGCTTATTCATTCCCAAACAATAAGCTCCATGAAAAAAGTATCTTGTGTCCAGCACACTGTCTGAACTATTCAGTGTTTGCTAAAGTTTTTCCCCCCTGGAGAAGAGGGGGAAAGAGCAGTGTTCAACAAAGGTTTGTGTTGCAGCTCTGGCTGTCCTGGAACTCAGAGAGATCTGTCTGCCTCTGCCTCCTGAGTGTAACCAGCTAGGTATTTTTAAACAAATTAACTTTCAATACACAAATGCCGGAGGCAAAGTCTAACAATAATTAGTCTATTTGGGAGTTCATCAACAAGTTAAACACAGGATTACCACAACCCTCTTCAACTTCTCTCCTAGATATATGTGCTTAGAATTAAAATGGGTGCCCCACAAAATCTTATACACAAAGCTCATGAGAAAAATTTTTACAAGAAGTTGAAACAGCTCTAACACACAACTAAACCTTAAAAAGATCTAAGTGGTGATTCATCCCAAAGTGAATGAGTCTCAATCTCCCCGCCACCCCCTTTCTCCTCTCCTCTCCTCTCCTCTCCTCTCCTCTCCTCTCCTCTCCCCTCCCCTCCCCTCCCCTCTCCTCCC